AAAGTCATCACTGGCAACACACACTTGTCAAAGACTTTTATCTTGAGACACTGAGGTAATTTAGACGCGAAGAGACGGTCGACAACTTCGAGTGTAGTGTTCCCAATTAACTGGAGCGTCAAGTTCATCTTAAGACCCACTCCTTGGGAAGCACTACTAAGTTCTTCGAGCATCGTGTTAAGATCTTCCAAGGTGTCAGCCATAAGAACTACATGATTGGCGAAACGAAGGTGCGAAAGGTACTCGCCATTAATGTTGCTGCCTCATCCTTTCCAATCCAGAAACTTGAAAATATCTTCCAATGCAGCTGTGAATAGTTTCGGATAAATCACATTTCCCTGTTTCACGCCTCGCTGCAGTTGGATAGGATTAGAGCTCTGGTTCTGTAATCGGACTGACATAGTGGCGTTTTCGTAAAGGTACCTTAATACCTCGACATACCTGTAGTCTACTTGGCACCTTTGGAGTGACAGTAACATCGCCCAGGTCTCAATCGAATCGAAAGCTATCTCATAGTCCACGAACACCTAACAAAATGGCAGATTATACTCTTCGGTATTCTGTATAACCTGCCGCAGCGTATGAATGTGGTCTATAATACTATAGCCTTTTCAGAAACCGGCTTGTTCAGGAGATTGGAAGTCGTCAAAACTGCATGGGAGACGATTCGTTCCATTTTTAAAAAACACGACAGATTTGAGTTTGCTGTGTTGTTTATTTAGCCACTAAGCACGACAGATATGGATTTTCATACAAGTTTTGCAGGCCGCTGCTTACAAATATGTGGCCAGTACAGCGATTTCGAAGAAGGTTTTCAAAATAATGCTCACAATTCAGAGTATGTTTGAAAAAAATTTTTTTTTAAAACAAAATTTACACTCAAAAATGAAGGGGTAACCCTGCCTGGTGATACTCCAAAACACATGAAAAAAAGATGTGATTCATCGACATGATCTGACGAAATGATTAACTTCAATTTGTACATTGCAGTTTTGCTCTTTGAAACATTTCATGCATAATGCATAAAGATTTTGGTCGCAAATGCTGAAATTTTGCAGTAATAGGTTAGAGAAAACGTATTTTCGCATTATAGTATGTATGAACTTGTAGTATCGACGACCTCCGTGGCCGAGTGGTTTGTACGCCGGGTTTCATGGCGTCGCCGACTCGAGAGGTCCCGGGTTCGAATCCCGGTGGGGGCAGATGTTTGTGTGATGAACACGAGCATTTGTACTCCAGTCATGGATGTTTAATATGTATTTCTATATAAATATACTTATATATGTAAAGTATATGTATTCTATCCGTTACCCTAGTATCCCATAACACAAGCCCTTACAGTGCTTACTTTGGGGCTAGGCTAATTGGTGTGAGTGTAAAAAAAAAGAAAAGATGAGTGAATCTAATGAATAAATTCGATACATTTATAATCTTACTACAAAAAAGGTAAAAATGTAACGCCAAGCCGCGAAAAGAAAATGTGATATTTATGGACCTGGTACAGTGTCTGTGAGATTAGCACAAATTTGGTTTAAGCTTTTTAATTTCGGAAATTTTGATGTCAAAGATGCACGTCGCTCTGATCGCCCTGTTATAGATAAAATGGATGACATTTTTAAAAAAGTGGAGCAAGATCGGCATATCTATAGTTACGAGGTAGCTGAAAAAGTAAGAATTTACCTCAAAACAGTTTTGGCGCATTAGAAAAAAGCTGGATACTTAACAAACTCAATATTAGGGTGCCTCACGAGCTCACTGAAAGAAACCTAATGAACCGTGTGTGTGCTCAGTTGTGATTCTTTATTAAGACATAATGAAATCGAACCATTCTTAGGGTTCCGTACCAAAAAACGGAACCCTTAAACCCGTCCGTCCGTCCGTCTGTCTGTCAAGACCGTTTTTCTCAGGAACGCGTAGAGGTATTAAATTGAGTTTGTACTGAACCCTCGGTGCGCGAGTCCGACTCACACTTGGCCGGTTTTTTGAAGAAGCTGATAACGGGTGATGAGAAGTGGATCTTGTACGACAAGACCGTGTGAAAAAATTCGTGTTCAAAGGCCGGTCAGGCGTCACAGACTCTGGCGAAACCAGAGTTAAGTCAACAGAAATATAAGAATAAAAATAACTCCAGGAATCGATAGAGAGATAAATTCTAAACAAAATTTGGTACATAAAGTTTTTGGAATAAATCAATACTTTCTGAGTTATTAAAGATCAAAGATTACGATTTTTCGTGATAAAAATACATGTTTTGAAAGCGGTTGAATCTAATAAAAAAACAAACAAACCCCTACTTTGAAAAACCTTCTAATATTAATTCAAAGTGAGCTATAGGTAATTATATGTATATTTTTTCGGCGAGTTCTTAAATCTAAGTATTCAAACTTAATTAACGGGAAACCGATGCATTTTATGACGTACAATTCCTCAACACTTTTTAAAGCCCTCAGAAATACCTTTCTAATGAGCACTGTAAAAAGTTAATAGCATCAAAATTGAGCAAGTCATTATAAAAATAAGATGACACTTTCGAATTTTTGACTTTTGGAAAAAACGAAATATAAAAAAGCCCTTTAACCCTTTATCTTTTAAAAAATAAGGGCTTTAAAAATATAATTTGCTTTTTTACAATAATTTCGTTATTTTTTTAGATATTAGGTTCATCCATAAGATTTTTGTGGAAATGGTGAAGGTTTTATTTTTCGTTTTTTCCAAAAAAAATCGAGTGTCATCTTATTTTTATCATAACTTGCTCAATTTTGATGCTATTAACTTTTTACAGTGCTCATTAGAAAGGTATTTCCAAGGACTTTAAAAAGTGTTAAGGAATTATGTGTCCTAAAATGCATCGGTTTCCCGTTATTTAGGTTTGAATATTTAGATTTAAGTAGGTACTCGCCCAAAAAAAAACAGTGAATTAATATTAGAAGGTTTCTCAAAGTAGAGGTTTGTTTGTTTTTTTATTTCTTTTAATTTTAGTAATAATACATTTTTTGTAAAAACTCATGGTTTTTGAGTTATTTATGAAAAACCGCTTTAAAACATGTATTTTTATCACGAATAATCACAATCTTTAATAACTCAATAAGTATTAATGTATTCCAAAAACTTTATGTAACAAATTTTACTTAGAATTTATCTTTCTATCGATTCCTGGAGTTATTTTCATTAAAAAAAATTTCACCGCCGAGAAGGGGTGGCATCTACCCCCAGGGCAAAAGCGCAAGTTGGCACTATGTCACTTTTGTTTCTTAAGGTATCCCCCACCTACTCACCAATTTCCATGAAAATCGATGGTGGTTCAACGAAATCGGAGGTTGTAGCTGATTTAGGCCTTCATTGACTAGACTATGGTAGGGGTAAGTAACACTGGGACGTGTATTTAAGAGCTCACAAGCCTTTTAGACTGAGAATAACAAAGTACCTATATTTAAGACTTGTTTTTTGAGGCAGCGACGTCATTTTTTTAAAAACTTAGTATATTGCATGGATATTCATTCAAAATGACACAAATATGTGTAGTTATAGCATTCATTTGTAACGAATCGAATGTTATGATAGCCAAGCGTATAGTAATTTTATTAGTATTATATTAATGCGTATGAAATTAAGCATTTGAGAACATAAAAGCGCTTTTTTTAAGCCCATTTGCAAAAAATAAATGATTGTTGTGACTTTTACCCACTCATTCAATAAAAAGTTGGAGGTTGTATAAATACAAAACTGCTTAAAATTATGTTATATAATAATATGTTCTTTTCACTTTTTGCATTTTTGTGAACTAAATTTGCAATGCAACATGATATTATTTTTGGAAAACCATAAAGTTTTCTACTATTAAGTTAATATTACTACGCTTTTGCGTTGACACTCTACCTACAGTTGTCATTGCAATAAACTTAAGGCATATTCAAATAGTTAAATTTACTTTTAATATAACTATAAAATTTTACTTGTTTAAGGAAATCAGAAGTTACGATGTACTAAACACAATTACCTAAACTCCTCAACAATTAAAAAAAAGTATTTTTGTTCTACATAGACGCGACCGGGAAGCTAACTCGAATCCAGCTGCTTCGAAGATAGTGAAAGCATAGCGGGTTCTGCTGTCCGCTTCGCAGCTTTCCAATCAAAACTACAAATAAACCATCTTATCAGAGAAGACAAATTACATCATTTAAGGCTGAGCGCAGATTAGAGACACGACAGTTGTTAGACAATCTTGTCTTACATAGACGAGACTGCTTTACAATTAAAAAGACACAGTTGTGTCTACCACAAGGCGCACACCAAGACGAAACTGTTTTGTCTACGATACGACACACACCACTTTCATCAGTATCAGAATAGATTTCACCGATTATTTATTTTATAGAAATTAAGGCACCATTTCGAATGAATGTATCAATCTATCTTTGATAATTTGTCAAAATTTATGGACCCACATATTACTTATTTTATCATATGTATTATACTTTCTTTCTAATCGCTAGACAATCTTGTCGTTGGTGTGCGCCCTCGCATACATTACAAAGGGAAGCGGACAGTCGTTAGTCAGGCTTGTCGCTTTGCAGTTCTTGTGTACATAAGACTTTTTTGTCTATGAGACGTCTCGTTTCGAATGTGCGCATCTTCATAATTTTTGTTGAGCAATAGTCTGTCTTGAGACTGTCGTGACTCTAATCTGCGCTCAGCCTAACAGCATACTGCAAGCTGCATCAAACACAGGCGACGTCCTATCGGTTTATACATTTTGAACATTGAGAGCACCTTCTGTCACATAGCATTAAGAACAACATTCGCAGTGTAATAGTAACCGTTCTTGTATCTCCGAGTGTACAACATCGTTTTTCCATAGTAGTACTTTGGTTAACAGCTGATGTGACCTTAAAAGTAGCAGTTACCGCCTCTACACGTTTAGAAAGTGTAAGCCGTCTCCCTCGCTCTCATAATATGTGACACATGACTTCCTCGTCTTACATGCGACGTGCAATTCATCCATTCTCGTCTTGTGTGTAAGATTATCTGCGCGTACGCACGATTCTTTTTTGTTCTTTTATTTTCGCGATAAATGAAATATTTCTAAGTGTTAGTGTAAATACTATGGGACAGTGAATTATTTGTTATTTTCTGGATTTAAAATGGCCGAGAATGATACCAGTGTGAGTAGATTATTCTCCACAAAAGACATCTGGATTTATTTTATCTCCTTTGACTCTATTAATATTGTTGAGTGTCCTAATTAAATTTGCTGTGAAACTTAAATTGTTTATTCGAGTGGAGAGATCCTAGGGTTTAATGTAGTTAAACTGCTTATTATATTAAAAACTATAAATTGAAAGTTTATGTTTGTCAACTAGCGCATAAAAGTATGTAGATAAGTACAGTTGGGAAGTCCGCAACTATGTAAGTACTTTAAAGTTTAAAGTTTCTATAGTGGTATAGTTTTATGGAGTAAAGTTAATGACTTTTTTCTTAATAAAATACTGTTAAACGAAAATATTCGTAAAGGTAATTAAAATAGATGGCTTTTGTACTAATCTCCATCACATAATATTTATACTATGACAAAAGTCGAAACTTACCTACTTGTGTCAAAAAATATTTAAATAACTGCAATCCGGATGATTTGTATATAAATAAATATTTCTTACACTCACACCAATAAAAAGCATAGCCTCAAAGTAAGCACTGTAAGACTTGTGATACTAGGGTCACGGAGAGAATACATAAACAGATACATATAAAGTATAGTTATATAGATATATATAAATGTATCTATATATTATATTATATATGATTAAAAAGAAAAAAACCTTGAATAAATCATGTCTCAGGAAATATGCTGACAACATACTCTTCTCTAATTTCATCATCATCATCAGCCTATTAATGTCCCCACTGCTGGGGCAAAGGCCTTCCCTATGGATGGAAAAGGGAGAATGGGCCATGACCCACCACGCTGGATTGGTGGGTGCTAACGACTGCAGATGCAGCCGGGACCAACTGCTTAACGTGCCTTCCGAAGCACGGAGGAGCTCGAGATAGTATTTTTGGTCACCCATTCAATGACCGACCACTGCGAAAGTTGCTTAACTTCAACGATCGCAGCCGAACGCGCTAACCACTTGCACCATCGAGCTCCTCAATTTAATAATATAATTAATTTCTATTATTGAACATTGTTTCTAACCGATGTTTTACAACAAAGAAACCACCTCAACAACACATACAAATCTTTCTACGTTTTTATAAGAAAGCCTACAAAGATAATAAATAACTGGGATTTGACGATTTTTCTATATATTCACACCAAGTATAAAGATTACGTATTTCAATATGGCCACCTCCATGGCCGAGTGGTTTGTACGCCGGGTTTCATGGTGTCGCCTACTCGAGAAGTTCAATTCCCGGTGGGAGCAGATGTTTGTGTGATGAATACGAGCATTTATATTCTAGTCATGGATGTTTAATATGTATCTCTATATAAATATACTTGTATATGTACGGTTTATGTATTCTATCTGTTACCCTAGTATCCCATAACACAAGCCTTATAGTGCTTACTTTGGGGCTAGGCTAATTGCTGTGAGTGTTGGAAATATTAAAAAAAAATGCACCCTGAAGTCCTTCCTCTTATACGTATCTTTTGCTTATTTTCTACTGAGTAATGTATACCTGCTAAGGCTAAACCTTACGTAATAAGAATTAATGACTCTTTCGATCTATGTAAATCCTCTAAAAAAATTTAGTGATAGCTTTGTAATATAGTTCAATGCGATGTTTACTTCAAAATGTACAAAGTCAGCCAAAGTCATTTCATTCAATACAAATTGATATAATAAGCTGAAGCTAAGTGTTTATAAATAGCTAAGCTACCAGACGTAAATTTCAGAGTCTAGACCTGTTTACGCAGTTATCTCAAAAGTCCTTTTCTCCTTGTCTATGTTTACGAGATACTGACAAAAATATTTTTTATACGTACCTACCTAGCTTCTTACATTCTAAACAAAAGCTCCACATTTTACCAGACTGTCTGCTACTGGCTTAAAGATGCTTACCAAGTGTAAGGGTATACGGGTGCTCGTATGCGAAAGATATGAGCTACATAATTCGTTATTGTCTATCTAACCATTTTTAAGCTATTGCATAGCTTTTATCGCGGGCTTTGAGCGCGGTGACCGAATCAACAAATTCCGTAACGAAAAAACCTTACGAGAGCATATACACTCTCGTAAGGTAACACAATTTTCGCTATTCCATAATAGATCTAAACGGCGCAATGTCTTAAGTTTTTGCCACGGGACCAACGTTCGACTTATCACCTCGGTCGTCGATTCAAATCCCGCACTCGCATTTTTTTGTTTTTTAGTATTATTTTTTGCCCTTTTTCCTTTTTTTAAATATTTGTTTTAGACCCGAACAAACTATAAAAATAGAAAAAAAACTGCATAAATTAAATAAATAAATAATTACAATTGCATAAGTTGATAAAAATGCTATGCAATAGCCTTACCGCAGCAGTCCCCGAGTGCCACACGTATTTTTTTGAGTTAAAAGGATAGCATCAAGCATATGACCCAAGCGGCCACCATGTGCTATAGTGGAAAAATCCCCTGCCTCGTGGATCTCTGGAACCTTACTTACCGACAGAAACACAACAACACCAAAACGTAGTGTTATTTTACTGCGGTATTCTGTAAGTTGGAGGTTACTTCCCAAGATGGGCGCTAAAATTCGAGCAGAAAGTCCCCTCTCTTTTTTTACCCGACTGCGCAATGCAAGAGCGCGAAGCGCGACGCGCAGACAGGGTATAGTGTTTAACAGTCTATATATGTATGTTTGTTCCTTTGTGGTCCTTTGTCAGAGTAATTTATCTTTGAATTATTTCATTCCTTTACCTTTCTCTTAGAAAGAAATAGAATACCACCAAAGGATACCTAGAGGCGTACCCTATGCGGTGAAATCCCTCGAGGACCTCGTGGTTCCGCATTTAACAGCCTAGAGGGTATTCGCAGGGTTTTTTAGCGGATAGTATGCCGTGAGCGTGTAAGCCGCGCGGACTATTTAACGGCTTCTCCGTTTCGCACCCGTGAGACTTGCGAGAGGCTAGGTGTGAGGTCCGTTCATTGATGTTAAGGGTTAATTAAGGGTGCTAACGTCACGCCATGCCAATAAAAAAAATAGAAGGCGTACCCTAGTGCTAAGAAGGCCATGCCCCGTAGCAGCAGGCTACGCGGGGTGTCAAGAGCTTTGTTTTCTGACCTATGTTTTGATTTGATTTACATAATAGGGGGATCCAAATTGTAAATAGCCCGAGGCGCCAGATTTTGAAAAACGCCCCTGAGGACTAGGTATCCTCAGTCGTTCTATTAGGCCTAACCTAATAATAGCATTCTTATACAAATTCGCATATCTGAAGGTTCCGGGGCAAACCTGAATTTGATAACAAATCAAAATGAACACACATTATCCATAACAATGATAGCTGACACGTGACATGCGTCGGAAGCTCATAAATAGAAGCTTCTTTAAAAAATTCAACACATAGGTAGACTAACACACTTTCTAAACTTATAAGAATTTAATGCGAGAAAGCCAGGTACGGATAACTATAGAATAGCATAAAATTTCTTGATGTGAAATATTCTCTCTTATTATAAACAGAGGCGGCCTTACCCGTTGCGAGGCTCCGGGCGGAAGGTCTTTGCGAGGTCCGTTGTCCTTCGTGAAAAGTATGTGATGCGAAAGTAGGTCTGGTTGTTTGGTTTAGGTATTTGTCATGTTTACGGAAAAATACTTAATGCATACAAATAAATCAAATTTGAATTTTAAAATATTTTACATTGAAAGATTCACAAAATTAACATTATCATTTACAGGAAATAAATCAACTTTAACCCGGATTGGACCTTTTAATACAATCTCAGTTCGGTCTACATCAGTAATTGTTATGGGCCACAAACCGGGGTCATTTTGAGGATTCAAATTTTCCGTTCCAGCAGTCATGGATGTAGACATAGACTCGGGCTCAGGTTCGTGTTCTTGACTGGATAGCGTTGATGGTGGCATCGGTGACCTAAGAGACAATGATGTAGTTAATTCATCATCATCCTCGTTGTTTTTACTTAATGCGGCGGCACCCATGATGATGTGGAAGGAATGTTTTCAGCTGGATCAGGATAAGAGTCACTTTTAGTCAATAAATGTTTTGTAGAGGTTTCTTTATCATCACTTTTTATATATTTATAAAAAGATCCACGCAGATTTTCTTCTACCTGCTTTCTTTTGATAGCTGGTTTCCTTTTTGAACTCCCTGACTCAAATTTTCTACCGGCATCACGATCACGCGAACTCATTTCGTAAATCTTGTTTTGTTCCGCTCAAACAGTCAGAAATAAATTTTTAAATACCACACAGTTTTTTCATACAGTTTTTTTACACTTTTCCAGCTCACTTAATACTTTCAATACTATAAGAACGTAATATCCAATAAAATTGAAAGATATGTACGGTAACGATTTTGTAACTCATACTTTAAGTAAAATAATTCCAAGGTGACAAAAGTTAACAAATGTAATGAAACACGGGGATTTCCCGAGCGATAGAAGAGCAGAACATTATGTCCCGACTCACGAGTGTTATGCGATTAAAAAACCGTTCTTCAAGTGTTTCGAGGCGCGATATTCAAGTACTACACTGAGAGATTTTTTTCGATAACCGCAAGCACAAAACGTGACAAGTCCGCGATTCGAAGTTAACAAGTGAAAATGTACGTAGATCGTAGTTAATTTTGGGTTATGATAAGTAAAACTGTACTAAGATTAAGAAAAATATAGAATAAAGTACATCTTATGGTTACAATAACCCAAAGTTTACTTCTGTTTACACACATTTGTACTTATAAACTTCGAATCGCGGACTTTTCATTTTTTGTACATACGGTTATCGTAAAAAATCTCTCAGTGCACTGTAAATTTTAGTGTCTTATTTTATTTGATCGATTTTAAAACACTAAAAAACGTTTTAAAATCGAGACAATGTTAATGAAATGGGTGACGTCATATTAAAACGATTTTAATGTTTTAAAATAAGACACTAAAATTTACAGTGTGTACATAATGAATTTTTCAATTATGTTTTGAATGAATGAATCAGTTAACTAACTTAATTTTAATTTACGGTTATGTTATAACCTTAATAAGTAATTAAGGATCAAAATCAAAAGTTTTAAATAAAAAAAAATAGTTAAAAAAGTTATATTTTTTTAAATTTGCTTGGGTTGTTGCGCGAGGCCCCTGTAGGAGCGAGGCCCCGGGCGATTGCCCTGTTCGCCACCCCCTAAGGCCGCCACTGATTATAAAGGTCTATTCCACTATGATAACCTGGGTCAGCGACTCTTTAGTCGCCTCTGATCACCCGCGAATATAATCACCTGCGTCTTCATAGGAGACTCCAACACAAATGATATTTTGATATCCTTAAATCACCTTCAAATACATATGATGCTACAGATGGGAATGATAGCGTCAGACTCAGAGTAGGCAAAAGTAGATCAGAAACCGTAGATCCATGTTTATTAAATTTGAAAAGGGATTGCTTACATAACTAAAATACACATAAGACCTTGTTTCATATTTTACAGTTTAAATGTTACATAGGTATGTAATGCTGCTTTTGCAGTGAAAAACATAAGACAGTTAATTGATATTGAAACGGCAAGACTAGTACATTTAAGCTACTTTCATAGTCTAACCCAGATAACCCTGAAACTATTTACCATTAACAATGTTTGTAATATTTTAGTAGGTATATTGTTATTTACGGTTCTAGAGTTTTTTTTTTATAGATAGGTCCGACAAATGACTCCACCCCATCGGATGTTAAGTAACGGCAAAGTCCAGACGTGAATACAGCTGGTACAGCAGTTCTAACTGCCACTCCAGCTATCCTCAACTTGCAAGCCTGCACGTTGCTTCTACACGCCTCTTTTATAGGATCCCAGGTTGTAAGAAAGAGAGAACACGTGAGAAATGAGTAACCAAATTTCTTTGTACGCGTTGTAATTGTGGCCACATTAAGACGGTGACAACGTAGGCCAGCGCGCGTGGTCTTCTGAAGGAAAGGGGAAGGTGGAATAAGAAAGGAAAACTCCTCAGAATACTCGCCGTGGTACAGACGATAAAACGCGCTTAGTGATGCCACGTCACGGCGTAATTGAAGAGGCTCGAGTTGTTCAGTCTCCTTCTCATTGCCTATGATGCGGATCGCCCGCCGCTGTAACCTATCCAAAGCATCGAGCAAGTACTTGGCTTTACAAATGAAATTAGTTTTGTTTTTGCAGATTTTACAGTTCTATGATCTGTCAAAATGAGTAGTGGGAGTAGGACAAGGTCTACGCTTAACATTTTTCTTATAAGTTTCTAAAAAAGCCCTTGCAACAACTCTTCGAAAAATAAGATGATCGTATTTCCTTCCATTCTGTCTATACAGTTGCCAGGCATTGTGAGTGGCCATATCTAAACAATGACAAATGAGGGGAAAATACCACATACATAGGTGACTGTTAATATTTTTAATATTTAAGGCTTGATCTTTTTGCCACTCAGGATTATCCAGCTACAAGAGCATTGTCGACGTTAGTTTCTTAAATGACTGACTCAATGCGTCTTTTTTGGCATTTATGACATGAGTACATTGTCTTCATCATCTGAAGAAGACTCACTGTAAACGATCTCAGCTTCAGCTCTCAGCTCAGACCAATTTACAAAAAGGGTGATTTACATAAGTTCAATACAAGAAACAAAAATTAAGTTGCCGTTCCAAATTTCAGACTACACATTGGTAATTCATTTATGGGAACATGCAGTATACTTTTCAATACATTACCAAAAAAAAGTCAAATATAAAATATCTTTATGAATTTCGATGCTTTTTAAAATTTGCGTTTGTGATTATTATGATCATAACACCCTGGCGGTTATATTCGCGGGTATTCAAAGGACACTAAAGAGTCTCCTATGATAAGCCAGGTGATCATAGTGGAATAGACCTTCTGTAGGTCAAGAGGACTAGAGGTCGAATTAGGCGCCCGTCTGGGGAAGCAACCTCCACCTTAATTTTTGTACCTGACTGCAAGAAAATTTATCAATTAGTAAATTCTCGTTCACGCAATGATAAATAATGGTTTGGCTACAGCGTAATATATATTTTTGTAAAAGAAAAGTTTACTAGAAAAAAAAATCTACGCGGTCCAGGCAGGGGACGGGACTCGAACCCGCACCCTTCGCAATCCGGGCGAATGCACTGACCATTATGCTACCACGGCCCTATTCTCTATTGTGGGTTACCTACAATGCAAAGAGCTGGCGCTGCGCAGCTTAAGGCTAGGAAAATTTCGACGCGGCCAATAGGGTCGTGGTAGCATAATCGTTAGTGCATTCGCCCGGATTGCGAAGAGTGCGGGTTCGAGTCCCGTCCGCTGCCTGGTCCGCGTGGATTTTTTTCTAGTAAACATTTCTTTAGACTTAAACATCTAGCAGTATAAATGCTTAAAACAAAAAAAAAACATATTTTTTTTCTATCGAGCCGGAGCCATTTTGACTTGAGCCGCCATTTCGTATATGTATGACGTATGATGACAGGTATCAAATTTCACTTCGCGAGTTGAGAGGTTAAAGAAGACCACAGTAAAATAACACTACCTTTTGGAGGTGTTGTGTTTCTGCCGTAGAGTAAGGTTCCAGGGCTTCGTGGGGTAGGATGGTTCGAGCGGCAATCCTTCCGCCGCATCATCTATCTTCGCTCCATTCGAACTCCACTTACACTTAACGTGAGGTGGAGTAATTTGTTGCGGCAAGTAGCGCGTTCGGTCCGTGATCGTGGATGTTAAATAACTTTCGCATTGGTCTGTCATGGAATGGATGACCAAAAATTTGTCATCTCAAGCTCATCTGCGCTTTAAAAGTTACATTAAGTACACATTGATCCGGGCTACATCTCATTTATTAGCACTCACCAATCCGTCTCTTTAAGTGTCGCCGCACACAGGCCACACGCCACAGCCACAAACACCGAAGCGGCGGTAGAAGCGGCTACTAATGTGGCTGAAGCGCGCGACAGCGACCGACTAAGGTAAGGGAGAGAGGGATGCACTGCCGGATTTAGGGGAGGGCAACCGGGGCGAAAGCCCCGGGGCCTCCACAAACGGGGGGCCCCCACAATAGACTCTATGGAAAATAAAATCTTTCAAATTCCAACTAGTAAACACTAGTAAACATCTTTTCCTTTGATATTTTTTTTGCTCTTTTACCTTTACCTACAGCCTACAGTACTTTGTACATCTAACATACATGATTATTTGAGTAGAAAAAAAATTGTTTACTTTTTTGGAAAATAATTTGGGGTGAGGGGGCCTCCGCTCCTCTGTTACCCCGAGGCCTCTGGACCTCTAAATCCGGCCCTGGAGGGATGGGGAATCGCGCGAGTGACGTGTGGCGGCGTTTTGTATCGGCGCATTAAGTGGCCGGTGCGGGCCACTGGAAGCGAGCAACGACGATTTGTAGCGTGTGGCGGCCACCAGCGTACCATGTGTGGCGAGTCCATATAAAATGTATGAAAACTATAAGAAATATGCCGGTGGCGGCGTTTTGTGGTTGTTGTCGGTGGCCTGTGTGCGGCGACACTAAAAGCTCTTTTCCATCTATAGGATAGGCCTGTGCGTATAAGAATTTCCCCGACAAAAAAACTTTTATTAACTGAAAAACTTTTTCCACAGATTGTTTCAGAGCAGCAAGAAAAACCAGAAAAGCCTTTGACAAAAAGCGAAGAAAATTATAACATAAAAACCAAAGAAACAAAATCTGATGCAAATATTAATATTTTTCTTTTAATCTGCATCATTGGAGTATCGCTCGGTATAATATTGGAAATATTAAACACTCGAAATAGAAATAAAAATGAATGCGTGAAATTATCATACAAAAAGCCAAAATACTGGGTTTACTCAGCATCCAGTGACGTAGAGAGTAAAAATGGTTTACTAAAACACGTGCATTTAGTTCTGGAGAGGAGCGGATACGAGAAATGCACAAATAATACACCATGGGATTTGCTATGGTCCCATGACTACCCTTTCAGATCACTCTATCCGAACCTGCACAAATTGAGACCCCATCAATTGGTAAACCACTACCCGGGAACTGGATTTATAACGAACAAAGTCGATTTGGCCACAACGGAATCTAAATTTATACCGAAGGCGTTCAAACTGCCTAAGAGTAAAGAAAACTTTTTAGAATACGCCACGAGGAATAAAAATTCTCTGTTTCTGGTGAAACACAATCAACACAGAGGTGTGTTCATAAGGAACGTGTCTGAAATAGACTTGTCGAGCGGAGAAAGTTTTGTGCAGGAGTACGTGCAAAAACCTTACCTAGTGGATGGTCATAAGTTCGATATTGGCGTGTACGTGGTGCTAACATCAGTGGATCCACTGAGAGTTTATTGGTACAAAGGTGATGTGCTGTTCAGGTGAGCCGGCTCTTCTGACTAATGTAATTATATGAAACTAAATATCAAATAATGTACCGTCAAACTTCTGCTAACAAAGTTTCATAGTGTTAATTCTTACGTTTATGATAGACTAGCTTTGGCCCGCAGACTACGTCTGCTTCAATTACGATATTATGATCATGTCGAAACTTAGAGCATTTGTAGTGTTTAAAACAAAATTCACTTTAGGGTGAAAATATTCAATAACAAAATAGATTTTTATTTATTACTAGCTGACCCAGCGAACTTCGTACCGCTATAAAAAAATAGAGGTTGGTGGTAGAAAAGTGAAACTTTAGAGTTGTATGTATTTACTAATGCTGTATCAAAAAAAAAATTAAAAAAAATATCTAAAATTGAAAAAAAAATAGGGGGGATTACCCTTAACATTTAGGGGGATGAAAAATAGATGTTGTCCGATTCTCAGACCTACCCAATATGCACACAAAATTTTAATGAGAATCGGGAAAGCCGTTTCGGAGGAGTTTAACCACAAACACTGCGCCACGAGAATTTTATATATTAGATAAAGAAACAACAATTATATTGCTATTGAATATATTGCTATTTAATATATATACCCTGTCGACTGTATAAAATTTCATGTGAATGTCCAATCAGTTAACATTGATATTAATATAGCGGTTGAAATTAAATAAATAAATAAATATATATTTCTACCACTCACACCAATTAGCCGTGCCTCAAAGTAAGCACAGTCAGTGCTTGTACTATGGGATACTAGGGAAACGAATATACATATACTGATACATAACAATATAAGTAAAATTTTCTTGAAATATATACAAATATCCAAGACTTTCGTACAAATGCTCGTATTTATCATACAAACATTTGCAACCACCGGGATTCGAACCCAGAACTTCATGATTAGGCGACACCTTAAAACCTTGAACATACGACACGGCCGCGTAGGTCGACAAATAAATAAATAAGTTAAGTAATGAATTACCACCAACCACATTGAAATCTATAAAGTAACTTACTCTATACTAGCAAACCAGTGAACCAAATGTTCACCGAAACCTGATTTAAAAAAAAATGTATTTAATTAATTGAGAACTTCGGAGATTTTGTGTGGTTTCGTTTGAAATTCGTGATTTCTCGAAAACCGGAAGTGCTACGTTACTCAAATCCGGTTTGTAGTCTTATCCGACTATTCTTAACTTATAACTTAAATATTCTCTTTATCTATCTCTTACGGTTTGGCCGCTGAAACAGCACCACAGACGGACGGACGGACTTGTCTAATAGATAAGAGACTAGCAAACCTGTGAACCAAATGTTCACCAAAAAAAAAAAAGATTTTGTGTGGTTTCGTTTGAAATAGAAATCACGTAATTTCTCGAAAACCGGAAGTGCTACGTTACTCACATCCGGTTTGTAGTCTTATCAGACTATTCTTAACTTATAACTTAAACATTCTCTATATCTATCTCTTACGGTTTGGCCGCTGAAACAGCACCACGGACGGACGGACGGACGGACGGACTTGTCTAATAGATAAGAGATACTTAGAGCATTTAACCATTGGAGACGCCATACCGTTCACTCGCCGAACAAAATATTTCACCATTTTTGGCGCGGGACGAGGTACACACGCATATAGCACACTAATGAAAATATGCAATTAATACTCCCACAAACACGAGCGTGTTGTTTTTATAAACGCCGGGTTTCATGGTGTCGCCGACTCGAGAGGTCCCGGGTTCGAATCCCGGTGGGGACAGATGTTTGTGTGATGAATACGAGCATTTGTACTCCAGTCATGGATGTTTAATATGTATTTCTATATAAGTATACTTATATATGTACAGTATATGTATTCTATCCGTTACCTAGTATCCCATAACACAAGCCTTACAGTGCTTACTTTGGGGCTAGGCTAATTGGTGTGAGTGTTGGAAATATTTATTTATTTATTTATTTTACACTCTTAAAATTACGTCACACAAACGTGGTTCAATGCTCTAAGTCTATATATATCATATTATTATAATACATCATAACCAAGGATTCATTACGGAAATTCCGATAGTATCTAGCTCGTAGGTACGTAAGTATGACATTGCTACCCTAAATATTCCAATCTATTTTCGGTTCATGAATAAAGTTATGAGAGTAACAGACTGCTTGCTAAATTACAGTTCTTATTCGGTAGAGTTTGTTTATTTCCCCGATGGAAAGCTTTGCTAATATTATTTGTTAAGTAAGTAGATATCTCATTTGCATCTCCTCCCACGATAAGTTATCATTTATCAAAGGAATTTATGTAACTCTTATCATAATCGATATTTAGCAATGTTATTATCTATTTCAGGTACCTATTTGTAACAGAACTGAGATTTAAAATAGAGAGAGAGGGAGGGAGAGAGAGGGAGAGGGAGGGGGGGGGGGGAGAGAGAGAAACATTTTATTGACCACATTACATCACAAAAAACATACAAAAAAATAACGTTTTGAAAATTATAGGCAACTAGCGGCCCGCCCTCGCTTCTCTTCGGTGTAGAGTCGGTTTTAAATTGACAAAGTTTCATACCAACATTCATTCCCTAATTTATCCCCTTGGGGTTAGAATTGATCAAAATCCTTTCTTAGCGGATGCCTAAGTCATAACATCTACCTGCATGCCAAATTTCAGCCCGATCCGTCCAGTGGTTTGGGCTGTGTGTTGATAGATCACTATGTCAGTCAGTCATCTTTGAGTTTTATGTATATAGATGATATAAACAGATTAATTACATTATCATTTGTGATTAATCAGGACCCTGCCTCAGCATAATGCTGCCGCAAAGTAGGTATCTATCAATGCTTTTATGTTTGGAACTCTGGTCTGATATGGTCTGCGAATTATTTATATACAATAGGAAAACAAACAGAGTGCAGTTATAACATGGTTATGTCAAAAAATAATGCTAGTAAAGAATCTAAGCTACTGCTTCGAAGCGCAGGCACGGTAAGCCGTTGGTCCCAGCTGCATTTGCATTCGTTAGCAACCATTAATGGGTCCGCGTGGTAAGTCACGGCCCAATCTCCCTATTCTATCCATAGCGAAGGCGTGTGCATTAGGGACATCAATAGGCTGATGATGATGATGATGATGATCCACAATAGTGTACACAGCATGTATGTGTAAAATTAATGACAAAATAAAAACTAGGCTTAATTTTACACGCATTAACTATACCCTCAATTCTTCAACAAAAATAAAATGAAAATTACGGATCTTGAGAACCAAGCCCGAACAAACTCGAGATGGTTATTTTGAAAGATCGATTATAGAAGTTAAGTTACTATTGCAATGGTGATGATGATGCTGGCACTTCACTTGACTTTGCTGTTTCTAAACTTGACAACAGTAAATAAATAAAATAAATAAATAAATAAATATTTCCAACACTCACACCAATTAGGCTAGCCCCAAAGTAAGCACTAAAGGCTTGTGTTATGGGTTACTAGGGTTACGGATACAATACACATTTAAGAAATACATATTAAACATCCATGACTGGAGTACAAATGCTCGTATTCATCACAAAAACATCTGCCCCCACTGGGATTCGAACACGGGACCTCTCCAGTAGGCGACACCTTGAAACCCGGCGTACAAAACACTCGGCCACGGAGGTCGTCAAACAGAACAGACTGTTGTCTTTTAATTCATAATAAAGCATGACAAAGACAGCTTTAACATGCTTTATTAGGAATTAAAAGGATAGACTGATGCCAAATTCAAAAAAAGCAAACACGAATAGCAAAATTAAGTGTCGGCTCAGATATATGACCTTAAATATACATAACTAGCGGCCCGCCCTCGCTTCGCTTCGGTGTAGAGCTGAAGTGTAGACTACAGTTTTTGTTCTCAGGCTTGTATTATACACAATGACATTCATCTATGATTCTTCTTATATACCTGCATGCAAAGTCTCATCCCGATCGGTTTAAAATTGACAAAGTTTCATACAAACTTTCATTCCCTATTTTATCCCCTTGGGGGCTACATTGATCAAAATCCTTTCTTAGCGGATGCCTACGTCATAACATCTACCTACATGCCAAAGGAGATTGCTCAACTTCCATACATGTTTGGCCTAAAGACCTATAATGAAAAATTGTTTCCTAGATTCGAAATTATATATAAGTTACTGTAGAAACGAATATTATTGACGGACACCCCTGAGAACTTCTATAAACCATATACACTGAACGATTTTGAGGTTATGTTTGCAAATAGGTACATAGGTATTAAAATAATAAAAAACAAATAAGTTATATAGTAAACTAGGGAAATAAAGCCAAGTACCGAAATTATGTTTTAGATTCAGGTATATAGAGCATGTAGATTAACAGATAGTTGCCCTTTTTTAAAGTTAATGCACAAGAGTAACTTTTAAAATCAGGTATCGTCTATGCATTTCCGGTTATAATAAGGTACTCTGTGACAGAAACTATGTGATGATTGGATGATTGCAAGAAGCATATATGGATGATTGTGAATGAGCCACAGATTAGAGAAAATTTTTGAACTCTCGTTAACCAAAGAAAGCTAACAGATTTAGGTTATGCAGCCATATCTTTGGTAGCTTCATTTTTTTTTGTTATGTTTATATTATAACCATATTTTAGTTTTTTAGTGTATTACGCCTTGTAATGTGTTTATGGAGGGGTTTAATTTAAATAAAATGTATGGCAATAGACTTTATGATGTCGCCTACCATCTATAATAATTGTCTTAGCACATTTGCATATAGTGAAAATGATAATATAGTTGTGGATATTAATACCACATAGTAATAAAAAAATGTTTTATTTTATCGATCTTTACAAAATAGATTTGATTTTATGTTATATAAACAACTTCGATCAGTCTTTGGCTAAATGGTACTACACCCATAGCCATTAAAAATGATTCGTATGTTCTGAAAACCGGTAAAATTAGAAGTCCTTTTTAAAATGAATATATTATACAAAGGTGTCCGTTGAAATCTAGTGACTGTAAAATAAAGTATAAATTATGCCAAGAATTACCGTATATGTCAATATTTCTTGTGCATTTGGGCCAATTTGAGCAATCTCCTTTCAGCCCGATCCGTCCAGTGGTTTGGGCTGTGCGTTGATAGATCACTATGTCAGTCAGTCACCTTTGAGTTTTATATACATTGGTGTCAATTCTGACATGATTCTCTAAAACTAAACTTAAATTTGACAACAGTGCATCTTTGTCATTTTCTATACAGAATGAAAGGGAAAGACTGATGTTAAATTTAGTTTTAAGTTAAGAGAATCACGCCAGAATCGATACCATTGTAAGTTTCAGAAGTGGAAATTCAATTAAAAAAAAACAGTTTACAACAAAAAAACCATTTTTATTCATAACTAGCAAACCCAGCGAACTCCGTTTCGCCACCACCAGATAGCTTCGTTTTATGTAACATTTCGTTTTGTGATTAAAAGAAAACGATTTTTTTTTAAATTTTCCTGAATTTTCTTTGCTATAAACCTCACGGAGCCCGAGACCTTTCCAACGAATGCAAAACCATGGAAATCGGTGCGTGCGTTCTGGAGTTATAGCGTCAGGAAGGAAAACCCGACTTATTTTTATATAGTAGATTACAATTGACTCAAATTACAATCAACAAAATAACTTACAGTCCACAATCCACGAAACAAAACACTGCACACTTTATCACTAAACTCAAATGGCTTACGTAACCTTACGACAAGCTCATGATTCACACGTCCGTCCAGTCCGAGCGCAGAGCGACAAATGGTGCGTTCTACCCCCAGCGCCTTACTTTTATAGGCGAAGTGGTGGGGTAGTTGCTGACGTAAGAGAGGGTTCTTCTTACAATATAGATATTCCGAAATCCTCCGCTTGACGCTTTAACGTTCTTCAAAAAGCTCGTTGAAAGATTCATCGCATCCCGGGTTTAAAAAAAACTATATTCCTAATGGATGTCATAAGTATCACCTCAAAACGGACATACTCGTACCAGATTCAACAAAGGGCCTTCTAATAATATGCGGGCCAAGAGGGCCATGGCACAGGGTGGCAGGCTGTGAGGGGTGGTTGCAAGAGCTGCGAGCAGGATTTGAGAGGTGGCTGCAAGAGCTGCTAGCAGGATGTGAGTGGTGGCTGCAAGAGCTCATCATAAGTGGCCCAGGGCTCCACATATCGAACTACTTTTTAAGTCTAAATTAAATTTTACTAGTCAAATTTCCACGCGGCAGCAGGCGGGGCTCGAACCCGCACCCTCCACTATCAGGGCGGATGCACCGTCCAATTATGCTACGGCGATCTTAATGATGGTTTTGAATTTTCTAGTATTTCTTAACCTGCAAGGCAGCACCATCTCATTGTAGGTTTTCTTTTGTTAATGTTTCAATTTCAAATTGTTTTTTCCTTTTAGGTACTGCCCGGCGAAGTATTACCCCTTCGATCCGAAGAATCTGGACAAGTATGTGATCGGGGATGACTACCTGCCTACGTGGGAGGTACCCTCTCTGGCACACCCCTACACGGCTCTAGGGTTCGGAATGAAGAATGCCTTCGACATCTACGCTAAATCCAAGGTACCTGTGGAATACTTACAGTCGCATGCAGAAACGTCATATCCTACCAAAAACATTTTCATGTAAAATGTTTCCAAGACTCGACCATATGACTCGGACTGGCAAAATGTTATCAGATGTTATGTAGAGACAAGCGTCTAACTCCACACTTCTTACCCTACAAGGCCTTAACTTCACATACTGTACAACTTAGTCAAATATGTGAAAAAAACATTGAGCCAAATCGGTTCCCTCTTAAAGTAATCATATGATTTAGTATGTATGTATTTACATATAAGTAGTATAAATAATTGTACTCCTATGGGTCATTATTCCGCTGACCTCACACACACACGGTGTTCTATTTTCAGGGTCACAGTCCGGGGAAAATGTGGGCAGATGTACAAAGGGCCATCTCCGAAGTATTCGTAATGAAAGAAAAACACATTATAGAAGCTGTAAGTATTTTCGTACACTAAAAGGTACTGAAGGCCGAAAAAGTGGATACACAACGCACTGCGTACATAGTTCTTACTGCCTCGTAATAAAGAAACTAACAATTTCAAATGTCGTCTCCTTTGTGAAGAAGACAGAAGAGCACAAAAATTGTGGCAGATAAAATACATACCTATTTATATAGTCCTAATTATACATATTTTATCTGTTTTGTATCACTCACAAAGTTACACCTCTTTACTATCTTTTCGTAAGTTGTTCGGAAAAAATCGTGACAATGGGGAACTGGTATACACCTCAGGAAAGCGAGGGACTGACTGGGATACACCGCGGGAAAATCAGCAGAACCTTGGCCCTTATTTTCTTTCAGTATCTAAAGATATAGATAAAGTTATAATTTTTATTATTTTAAGCATGTAACTGCTTGATGATCTAAAGAAAATATAACTAGAAAAAAATCCACATTGTGGGTTACCTATAATGCGAAGAGATGGCGCTGCCTTGCATCTTAAGAATGGCTAGAAGAATTACGACGCGGTCCGTGAGGGCCGCGGTAGGATAATTGGTCAGTGCATTCGCCCGGATTGCGAAGGGTGCGGGTTCGAGTCCCGTCTGCTGCCTGGTCCGCATGGAATTTTTTCTTGTTATATTTTCTTTAGATTTAAACATCAAGCAGTTACATGCTCTAAAATAATAAAAATTATAACTGTAATTGCTATTTCTTCTTTCAAATGTTTAATACTTGTAAAATAATGTTTTCTAGTTATATTTTCTTTATATAGATAAAGTGTCAAAGATACTGGAAGAAAATTATTAAGACACACATAGGTAAACAAAAGAGACAAATTAAAATATTCTGGGGTGTGTGTGTGTGTCCTGGTGTTAGAGTGCCAGAACCATTTAAATATATGCAGGCTTCAAATTCTGTGTACTTACATACATAACACAACAAGGTCTCTTTACAAATAAACTCCACTCACAATCTATCTATACTTATAATAAATCTGTAGAGATGTCAATTCTGTACATGAAATATATTTTTAAAATAACTATCAGGGGGTGATTAGTGATCGATACTGATGCCAAAAATGCAATCAGTAAAATTTTTGTCTGTCTGTCTGTCTGTCTGTCTGTGTGTATGTTCCTTATAGAAACAAAAACTACTCAACGGATTTTAACGAAACTCGGTACAATTATTCTTAATACTCCTGGGCAGGTTATAGTATACTTTTCATCACGCTACAATCAATAGGAGCAGAGTAGTGAAGGGAAATGTTGGGAAAACGGGAGAAGTTACTCCATTTTTAAGCTTCCGTCGCGTGTGCAGCCTTAATGGTTAAAGTTACATAGAAATCATGTATGACGGAAATATTCTACATAAAATTGTCTAAAAAATATCCCGCAACAGCATATGTCTATCTTTTATGATTGACTCACAATAACACGTGTAATTATATAAATAAAGTCATTCTTTATAGCACAAGCCTGAGAACAAAAACTATAGTTTACAGTACAGCTCTACACCGAAGCGAAGCGAGGGCGGGCCACTAGTACATAATAAATAACATCAACTTATCGAACTAGAGGATAATGTTCTCCTGTTTTATTTTTTCAGCTGAAACAATACCCTTCCTCGAACAATTTCTTTGAACTAATGAGGTTCGATCTTGTATTAGATGAAGATATGAGAGTGTACCTTCTCGAAGCCAATATGTCTCCTAATTTGAGCTCCGCGCATTACCCACCTAATCAACTGCTCTACGAACAAGTGCTGTACAACCTTTTCTCAATAACTGGAATCCGGTCGAGAACTAATGCGAATAGCGACCCCAGTAACAGGTAACGTAAAAACTCATTTCTGAAAATAATTACTATAGAACTATAAATAGGCAAGTAATCATAAAGTAGACATCTCCAAAATAACCGTTGTGATTGCCATTGATTGGTTATGTTGACGGAACAAAAGCAGCTAGGCATAGGGTTGCCAACCCTACTATACATACTTATAATACAGGTACCAATTCTGGCGTGATTCTCTAAATTTAAAACTTAATTTAACATCAGTCTCTCCTTTTCATTCTGTATATAGAATGACAATGATATACTGCTGTCAAATTTAAGTTTAGGTTTAGAGAATCATGCTAGAATCAACACCATTATCCTACTATATTAGGGGATCAAATACTATATTTCAAAAAAAAAGCAGTAGGCGAAACTACTATATTTTGCTTAAAGCACAGTTTTGCCAATAAAATCTTTTTTTTTAATAAAAAATTGAAGTATCAAGGTATATCAGTAAAAATATACTCATATCAAAAATAAAGTAAATACTTTAACCACACACTAAATCTTTTCCATTTTTTTGGTCATCTACTATATCTTTTGAAGGTAACAGGTTCGAAAATACTATATCTGATAGAAAAAAAAGTTGGTAACCCTTACTAGGCAGAGTAGTTCTAGCTAGGTATGTTTTTCATGAACAAATACATTTTTAAAAGAAAACATTGTTTGTTAGATCCTCCTTTTAGTTGAGGTGTATAGAAGCAAAAATGCCTCTGGCCAAGTTGTGTGTAATGGAGAAAAACACATTATTATATGCGTAATATAATAACCTACTTCTAGGATTCTAGGCATTTAAAACTTTCAATGAATCTGCTCGCTTTTTGGTCGCATATTTTTGTAAAATATGATCACCTCCTCCTGTCTCTCTTACTGGGCCTTCTGTTGTTTTAAAAACTTTTGCTACTCGACGAATCCGATGTAAAGAGAAGTGCGATATATTTAAAAAGGTTTTTTGACGTACAGGTATAAGTTTTAATCTGTGACTCGTTTTTACGAACAGCTTTGTACAGTATCTATTTGGTGCTCGCTGACCCACTCGCGCTCGTCGACGTACCGTATCACTAACCTTAAAATATTTAAAGAGAAGTGCATCCAGCCCCCCTAGCATGACTAACAAAACGCGATATGATAAAGCGATTTATCGACACTCAACTGTCAAACTCCATTGTAGTTTGACAGTTAATGTCGATACAAAACGCCGCCACACGTCACTCTCGCGATTCCCCACCCCTCTCTCCCTTGCCTTAGTCGGCTGTTGCCAGTGCTGTCATATCTACCAACTTTTTGGTAGATCTACCAATTTTCACTTCAGTCTACCACCCTAGATCTAAAAACTACCTATTTTTTAATTAGTTTGACATATCACCACTTTGAATTATTTTTATATCGACGAGCGACGTTGCGATGTATTGCGTGAGCCATGCAACGATGCGTCAAGCATACATAGAGTCCAGGACATAAACCACAAAAATAGAACGTCAGAAACAGTTCGCCATGAGTTTTACTATTCTTACTGTGGCCTATTCCCGATTGGTTTGTTGCGGAATCAATGTTGATGCTCCTGTTTTATTGTAAAAACTTATGTTTGTTCTATGTTGCGTGCATTTATTTATATAATGGATTCAGACAGCAGCGAAAACCTAGAAAAAGGCACTATGACCAAAAATATTCGAAATTATGGGAGAAAGACAAGAAATTTGCAGGTTGGCTTCAAGAAATTACTAAGGGTGACGGATATTTTTATTGCAAATCATGTAGGTGTCATCTGAAGTGTGCTCTGAATTGCATTGCATGCATTTTTAATCTTAAAAAAAACTTCTAAATTGAGGTGGTAGATCTACCAATTTTGCATTTTACATTCTACAAACTTCTACCAATATTTGGCACATAATCTACTAATTTTCTAAAATTCGGGTTGGCAGCACTGGCTGTTGCCGCGCGCTTCAGCCACTTTAGTAGCCGCTTCTAGCTAGGGATGGCGATTCTTTCCGAAAAAGATCGATTTTTAAATCGATTCGAATCGTGACCTAATGAATCGATCCACAAAAAAATCGGGGCCAATAAGATCGATGTCTGAAAAATCGATCTTTTTTTAAGTTTTTGTTTATAATGTAATATAAGTCTATTTTATTAAAAACAAGATACATATTACAATTTTACGATCTCTTATCAGTAAAATCAGGTGATTCGATGATAAAAAATATTTTTATTCAAAGATTACAAACAAACGTAACTTTTTTTATTAAAAAGGGGAGAAGGAATCCAAACATATAGCCATTTCGCGATTTTTTTATAATTAACCCTTTTACCGGCAGCACCCTTATAACAGGTACATTCAAATAATTGTAAATAATTTTTTGGTTTATACCAAATAAATAAAATATAAAAGGAATATCGATTTTCAAGGGCGAAATATCGATTCAGTGTATCGATTCTGTACTACATATCGATTAATAAAATCGATCTTTTTGGCTGAAAAAATCGATTATTCGATTAATCGATCTCAGATCGTCATCCCTACTTCTAGCTTCTCGTGGCGGCGTTTGTGGCTGCGGCGTGTGGCCCGTGTGCGGCATTTAACCGTTGTCTTCTGTAAGGTGGAGGTTACCTGACGGGCGCTCAAAATCAAACGACGGTTTCTAAGTTTCTTTTCTATCTCGATCATGGAATCAAATTAAAAGAACTTATAGAATAATCTGATCAAAACTATTACCTATCTCACTAATGAACGTAAATAGATACGTGCCTACATGTAGAATTAGCTTAACAAGATTTTCTTGGAGATCAAAGAAATACCAAAATAGATAGGAGAAAATTTACTTACTTAAGTTTGCTTGTTCAAACAACAGGTAAAAAAGAAGAATAATAAATGACCATACTTATCTATTATTCTTATTTTTGTTTCTGAGTGAGAAAATACAGAGACTCTGACCATGATCGAATACTATATAATTTCCTTTTTAATAATTTCATTTAATAAACGAATGCCCAAAAAAAGTTTTATTTTTTTCCATTAACTTGTTGGGAACGGTTGTGAACTGTTCATGAATACCCTAGGGGTAGGGTCTGCTCTAGGGTTATGTCAGATCCTTACTGACTAAAACACACCTCATTGGTTGATTTGAGGTCGATCACTCCCAATGAAAGCATTCATTGGGAGTGATCGACCTCCTCATAGCGATATAACGATGCAGCACAGCCTTGGTTATTTAATAGGACGTAGGTAGCGCGTGGGAGAACATTTTCACCCCATAAACGAAACGCACTAGCATCGAAATGTTATCGAGCGGCAGAAGACCGCTCTGGATTTGGGGGCGTTCTGAAGCAGTAAAATGCACATACTTTATTGAAGTGAAACTTCTTTATCGGCGTTGGAAAAAAATTTACCGTCACATTTTTCGGTTACGCGTCACATTTTTCCGTTACGCGCCATCTTTTGAAGTGAAACTTCTTTATCGGCGTTGGAAAAAAATTTACCGTCACATTTTTCGGACGTTACGCGTCACATTTTTCCGTTACGCGCCATCTTTTTTTATATCAATAGTTGATAGCTGAATGATCACACTGTCGCCGGCGAGAACTCTCTCTACTCGTTTGTAGCTGAGTGACAATAGTTATTAAAGATAAGACTCGCTCAGCCAAACTCGCATAGCGATACTCGCTCAGCGATACTCGCTCAGCGGTACTCGCTCAGCGGTACTCGCTCAGCGATACTCGCTCAGCGATACTCGCTCAGCTATACTCGCTCAGCGATACTCGCTCAGCTATACTCGCTCAGCCAAATTCGCATAGCGATACTCACTCAGCGATACTCGCTCAGCGATACTCGCTCAGCGGTACTCGCTCAGCGATTCTCGCTCAGCGATACTAGCTCAGCGATACTCGCTCAGCTATACTCGCTCGGTTAAGCTGGCTTGGCTGTCAAAAGCCGTGCGCGTGCATTTTAACTCAGGACTGCCAATTCGTTTCTAGTTTCTACTCGCTTATCGTTCATCGTCGGAGGTGGAACATGTGCCTTAGATTACTGAGCCGTGTAATCATAACAGTTTCATAGGCAGTAATTTGTATTCATGTCTATGATAATAAAATCCTTTTGTTTAAACTATATCTAATTTAACTTTATTTAACCAATTTCTGGAAAGTTGCATGTAGATCATTTTTCGAAAAATAAGGCCATAAAGAAGTTTCACTTCTTACGTGTGTACACTAGTACACGCACACATTTTTTTTTTTTTTATAGCCCTTGCAGTCTCTATAGGTGAAAAAGCATATCAGGTAGAATGTAATATACACCTACCATTATCATAATTATCCTGCCATAACCACATCACAAAGACTTTCAAAACACTTACCATCTTATTTCAGCGACCAAGCGACAGCCAACATGGTGGCGTCACATAAAAACATTGCAGTCTGGGGCCGTGAATGCAGCACGATATGCAAAGACAACTGTCACGCGCTGCCAACCTGCTCACTGTGCAAGCCGTGCCTCACGCCCAAGCTGAGAAGCAGTTTGTTGAAAGCGCACAGGGAGTTTCTGCATAGAGGAGACTTCGCTAGACTTTTCCCGCCACCTATGGTAAGACGTAAAGCTAAAGATCATAATACGAGCGGTTCGTAGCCGACGGCATCAAAAGTTTTTTTTTTGAGTGTGTATGCTGTTGGTCGCAGATGACCTCCGCAGCGTCACAGGGTTTGCGGACGGCGAGATCCTAAGGGGCCTTCAAGCCGAGAATTGGCAAGTGCCTCTAGAGGTATTCCAGACGAATGGCATCTCCCCACAGGGAAGTCTCCTCTCCGTCTATAGCCTCTAGACCACTCGAACCTATGCAGTCTTATTTATGCGATGCGTTATACGACGCCGTAGACTTCTATGGTGTTATTCTTTTTTTTTGAGTGTGTATGCTGTTGGTCGCATATGCGCAGATGACTTTAACAGCGTCACCGGGTTTGGGGACGGCGAGACCTAAGTGGACCTCAAGCCGAGAATTGGCGAATGCCTCTAGAGGTACTCCAGGCGGATGTATGTCCCCACTGGGGGAGTCTCCTCTCCCTCTGGAGCCTCTAGACCACTCGAACCTGGGGGGGTTGGCTCAAGGTGCGACGCCGCCACGCAGTACTGTGGCCTTGGCTTTATGTGTATCAAATATTTCATTTACTAGCGACCGCATGCAACTTCGTCCGCGTTAACTTTTCTTTTTTGAGAATCGTACAGGAACCTACTTATTTTTCGGGATAAAAAGTATTCTATGTCTCTACCGACGTTATTGACTACATAGGTACCAAATTTCATTCAAATCTCTTCAGTCGTTTTTGCGTGATTAAGTAACAAACATACAACTTTTACATTTATAATATTAGTAGGATTCCTTGGGATTGACAATCTTTCTTCTTTGTTTTGAAAATTGTTTCACTTTCATAATTACAAACAGAAGGCACTAACTGCGCCAGCGAACTCCTGCCCCACAAAAGTTATTTTGTATTTATTAAGTATAAATAAAAAGTTACAAATGTGTTCTTATGAGGTCTAAACTGTCATTTATTAACTTCTCAACATAGATTTCAGTGATTTCCAATTAGTTCAAGGACTGAATGGAGAAAGAATATGGTAGTTTCTATTATAACAAGTAGCATAACACTAATTTGTATACTTAATTCAATGTTTTTTATTATAACTTGATGTTCTGATTTCAGGAACCTAACACTTTGGATGAAGAAATAATAAGAAACTTAACTAGCATGAACAGATTACAATATTTATGGTTCCAAGGAAAATGCAACGAGGATATTTTGTGGTGTTCATGAAATACTGAAGTCATTTGTTAATACTAATTTATTAAAAAAATAACAACTATCCTTTTTTTCTTAACCATAAACTATTTAAGAACCTTGTACCACAGATTGTAGCAAACCCAGAATATAACTCCCTAAATCCTCATCTTGATTGGTCCATGACACATAAATGCTTTTGGTGTTGTCTTCCCCCTCAACCTTGATTAGTACCGACTCCACAGATATGTTGGCTTCAGAGATAGTTATTGTCCAACCTTCAAGTTTTTCAGCTAGTAAAGCTTTAAGTTTTTCTGCAGTTTTCACAGCAGATCCAGTGTCATCAAATCTGACTGTACTCGTAAAGCGTATCACATGTCTATTTATTCCAATTTCATCACAAACTTCATCAATGTCTAATAACGACAGTCTATTATCCTTGACACAGAGCATTCCATTGACCACTCTACGTCTCTTTGGATCAGGTGGCAAAGCATTATATCGAACAGCTTCAGCCTTGAGGAGTCTCAGTGATACATCAACAGGTACTTTAGTAGGAGTGTTTATAATGGTTGTCTCACCATTAGCAGGCATGTAACAATTAATTTTAAACTCTTTCTCAATTTTGTCCTTCAAAAATTCCATTTTTTGAGCTTCACCATGCACAAGCAGCACATTTTTTGGCTCACAATATTGTATTAATTGCATAATACCCTTGGCATCAGCGTGAGCCGAGAATGACATGTACTCAACTGCCATTTTTACTTCCACAACCTGCCTATTTTCAAATTCCACCTTCTTTGCACCATTGAGGATTTTGTGACCAACAGTGCCTTGAACACAGAAGCCTGGCATAATAACCATATTCTGTTCATAAGGTGCCCATTTCTTGAATATGTTTAAAGATAACCCAGCATGCAACATTCCTGGTGTTGCAAATACAACCATTGCTCCCGGATTTTCAATGTATGTTTTGTCAAAGGGCTTAATATGTTTGAAATCAAACATGTTTCTCTGAACAAATGTCTTCCTAATCTTCTGATTGGTCCAAGTTATGAACATCTTATAGTAATTATTGGCTTTTTCAGTTAAGCCTAATGCAAAATATACTGGGTATTTTAAATTCATTCTCTCCCAGTAAGTTTCCAGCAAGATACAAAGTTCTTGTGCCCTCCCTAATGCAAAAACTGGTATTAACACCTTACCACCCTTTTCAACACACTCATGTACCTTCTTCAGAAAATCTCGTTCACGGCAACGTTTAGAATCTCTTATAGTTGTTGCATATGTTGACTCTGTTATTAAAAGGTCTGGTCGACATTTATCTATCCACGCTGCACCCAGATGCCTGTCTGGAGTCATATTATAATCTCCAGTGTATACTACAGACTGTGATCCTACTCTGATCCAAAACATTGCAGCCCCCAAAACATGACCAGCATAATATGCCTTGATTTCCAGTTCATTATCAACCATTACTGACTGATGTAGTGTTACAGCAGTCACTTTTTTAATGCAATCCTTTATCATTTGTGAAGTAAAAAAGTTTGATTCACCTTTCCTCTCTACTACAACTTTTCTCATATCCTCTAACAAAATAGGTGCTATTGCTTTTGTTGGATGTGTCATGTATATAGGTCCAGTGTATCCTATCATTTCGGACATATATGGTAGGGCACCGCAATGATCGAGATGGAAATGTGAAATAATTACGCAGTCAATTTGACTTGTAATTGGGCCCTCTGGTACAATATACGTGAAGTCTGGGAATCGTCTTTCATCGTTATAGCCCATGTGCATGCCGCAGTCTAACATTATATTTTTGCCACCCATCGACAATAAAATGCAGCTCCGGCCAACATCTTGACCAGCTCCAAGTGGAGTAATTTTAATATCGGGCATATTCAAAAGATATCGGAATACGAAAACGTTCAGAGATTATAAATCTGCACATTCAAGATTTACCTTTCAGAAGAAACGTCAATTGAATTGTCCATTCACCAGACAGGCGAAAGTAATAGTTAAGATAAATAAAGTTAACGAAGTGATTTTTATGCTTGTAAAATATATGAGAAAAGCAGAAAACGGAATCAAATTCTCCTGCTCATGTTCATAACGTCAATATGTCAATGTCAAATTTTATGTCGTTACAAATGTTTTTTTTTAAGATTCTCCGTTTTTAGGAAAGGCAAAGGGCCTTTACAATGCCTATACAGCCTAGTTTTGAGTTATATTAATCTTCTTTTTTTTACATTACAATGTCGGTGTGGGTGTGACGAATTCTAATGCTTTTTGGAGTATTTGGCACAAAATGTATCGAGTTGGCTTTTTCGATAAGCTTCTGTGAGGTAGTCGCAACTACAATAAAGTTCTCACGTTCACTTGACCGGAATAGCGTATATTTTAAAGATAAATAAAGAGAATATGTGGAATATTCTTTAGTTACGCGGACTGTTGTAACATAAAATCACACCCATTTTTATTTCACTATATCCACAATGAACGAATTTAAGAATAATTAAACTAAGACGCCAACCGCACTCGATGAAATACCCCCAAGAACTCCACAAACGTTTTTGTTATCACATATTTCGGAAGGAAATAGCACCCATATTTTGACGTGACAACGTCTTAAATTAGGTTGCGGCTGGGAGTCACTTATGAAAAAGTGTAACGCTCGGTAACGTTACGATGAGTCTCTCGTGTTAAGTTTAAGTTTACATGTACAATGGTGTCGATTCTAGCATGATTCTCTAAACCTAAACTTAAATTTGACAGCAGTATATCCTTGTCATTCTCTATACAAAATGAAAAGGAGAGACTGATGTTAAATTTAGTTTTAAGTTTAGAGAATCACGCCAGAATCGATACTAATGTTTTAGTAAACAAAATATATTTCTATAGTTAAAATTTGTGCAATTCTTATTTTCATTCAATTCCTTGTTCCTATTGTGCAATTTAATTATATTCATATCAATAAATATTCTACCGAGAAAAAGACGTTGTCACGTAAAATCTTCGCCCGTAAAACCGACTTTACAGGCAACCATTTTTTTACTTATATTTTTAATGATTTTATTTGTCCATAATTTTTTTTGCTTCTCAACCGTGTTTTCAACTTCAATGGAATTTATGTTTAAAAGATTTCTGATTCCTATGTTGGAAACAAAGAGTCCGTGTTTTCTTTGACCCAGGTTTAGTTTGGCCACTTATGAGATTATGAATTTTATAATGTAAAACAAAAGGCTAGCCAAACTGTTATTTTTAAACGGTTTAATACATAAGAAACGCAATATTAAAAGGAGAAATTGGCTTTTATTTGCTAAAAATACAGCTAAATTTATTGGGTAAGGGTGATCCGTTGACCAAGATAATTGCCAGCCTTTTTATTCCCCAGTCATTTAGGTAAGCTTCTTTGCTTCGTGAACCTCTCTTCTTCTTCTCATATTTCATGGTCACTATATTCCAATCGCGCATTCCAATGTAAAAAAAATACAATTATATGAATGAATTTAGTATTCTTTGCTTTCCCATACACGGATAATATTACCGAAGAAAAATAAATAACATTACTGTCATTTTTGACATTAGAGTTCTATTTACATAACCTTGAAACTGAGCCTTGGAGCACGGTGGTTATCACCTTTATTACGTAGTAGTAAGGAAGATTTTTGTGGTGCAATTGTGTACACAACCGGTCTCTTTGTTTCAGTACTTTATTTATTTATCATTTGATTTCGAACAAATTTCTGTATTTTTGTACATTTTTTTCTTTAACCAACTAAAAATATTTTGTGTAGATAGATCTATTTAGGTTATCTTTACCAAGTTTTTTTATCAGAATTATTTCGCGTTAAACATTACGTGCGTTAGCTGTTCAATAAATTCGCCATGCAGTAATGATAAAGTTATCTAGTGTTTGAAGCTGCCGGCAAGCAGTAGTGTGTGCTGTGGACTGTGTGGAGCATATTCACCGGCTTGTTATCGCAGGGTGTCGACGTGTTGATACATAATTTGTAAAAATGTCGGGTGAGGCATCTACTGCAAATGGAAACAAGAAAATAGCTCTTATTACCGGAATCACTGGGCAGGTATTTACCAATATAAAATTGATAATGTTTTTACCAAGAATTTATCTGGCAAATTATAATAGTAACGAAATTTTTATTAAAAGAAAATTGTTGATTCCTTAGAGTAGTCTGCTTTAATACTTGTATTATTTTCTAATGAGTTTTCCAGATTTTTTTGGTGTCAAGGATAAATAACAATTTTGTTTAAACTGCATTACACATGTTTATGTTAATAAATAGCTTTACAAATCTTACTATTTTTCATATATATTTACAAGGAAGCTTTCATTTTCAAATTAATAAAGAATAAATGTTAAGGCTTAAATTTTTCCACTTCTAATAGTTATAACATCAATCATATATTTTCTAGGATGGTTCATACCTTGCCGAGTTCCTAATAGAGAAAGGCTATGAGGTGCATGGTGTTATGAGGCGTTCCTCATCTTTCAACACGGGCCGCATTCAACATCTTTATGAGCAGCCAAATTGCCACACCGGGGGCCGAATGCATCTACACTATGGAGACTTGACCGACACCACTTGCCTTATCAGAATAATTACACAGGTAATATTATTATCTTATACATAAAATTCTCATGTCACAATGTTAGTTACCATACTCCACCTAAATGGCTTGACCAATTTTTATAAAATGTTATTATGTATTTTCAATATGTCCGAGAATCGACTACTATCTATTTTTCATACCTAACCCTAACCCCTACCTAAGTGATAAGGGTTGTCCACCCCTAACGTTTATTTTTATTTTTAACATTTTTTTTATTTTTTATAATGTAGCATTAATTAACCCTAAATTTTCACCCTTCTACCACCCATATTTTATATGCCAATACAAAGTTCGCTGGGTCAGCTAGTATCTTATAATTAAGTTATATTAACTATCTAAACATAGGTATCTTTATGTATAGATTTTCTGAATATTTTTATTGAATAAGAGACTTCGTTTTAATTCAATAAAAATATTCTTCTGCTGAGTTTATATTGCAGACTTTGAGGTTTCAAGGCCAATTTGTGAATGTGAATAAATTTAATAAATAAATTGACTAAGTGAACATAAATAAACAGACTCGCACCATTCTGTAACATCTGTTTTATCAAATTGAAACCATTTTTGTTTTAATAATCATCTATGCCATATCATTTGCATATTGATTGGGTCTTAGTTTGTTATTATATTTTTATCTTTACTATTACATATTTATGAACAGCCTTAGCACAAACCAATATCGAATTTGAATAGTTTGTGAGTCCGAAATGTCATTGTCAAATGTATACTGAATTTTAGTTCTCTTTATGTACTTTGTAGCACTACTGTTCAAGTTTCCATACAAAATTTGACAATGACATTTTGCAAACGCAAACTATTCGAATTCGGTGTTGGCTCGTGCTAGGGATACAGCTTACTAAACTTTCTCATCAAAATACTAATGATCTCTCAATTTTTACTGGGCAAACTTAAAAAGTTTAATGCCCATAAGTATATCATCTAAGAAGTAAGCACCAACTAATCGCCAAATTTATAATCCTAGATACCTTTTGATTTGTCATTTGAATTTATTTCAAGCTCCAACCACATACAATACATACAATATACTACTATATACAACCTTCAATTAGAAAGATATCTTAAATATGCTAGACGTATGTATATATATATCACAAATATTTACATTGGTGGAATTTCAGAAAACGTGACAACCAAACCGATAAAGGACAAAAATAAATACAAATTGAAAGGTGTAGTGATAGTGATAGGACTTATGGCAGTTTAAGTTATCTAAAACTGGCAATTTTTTCCCTCTGTCTTTAAGCTGGATATCTTGCTAGATATAAGAATCACATTTGAGTAATTTTGTTTCACTGTATTCATTCACTTTTAGACAAGACCAAAAGAGATATATAACCTGGGCGCTCAGTCTCACGTGAAAGTATCTTTCGAGCTCAGTGAGTACACAGCGCAGGTGGATGCTCTTGGGACCCTCAGATTGTTAGAAGCAGTTAGAGCTGCCGGCCTTGACAAGGAGACTAAAATCTACCAGGCCTCCACCTCTGAACTATATGGGAAAGTGGTAGAAGTGCCACAGAATGAGAAAACCCCATTCTATCCTCGATCACCTTATGGTAAGAGCTTATTTTCCATTCATTCCTCGATATGTAAAGTAGGATAATATAGATTTCAAATACAAAAGCCTTTATTGCTGATAATTTCATAAAATACACATCATTACCTTTACTTATAATTCAGCGTATCCTGCAGACACATAGGCCTCCTCCAGCCTTTTCCACCCCGATCTATCCCTTGCTAACCTCCGCCATAGCGGGCCAGCTACCCTTCTTATGTCATCTGACCATCTTTTCAGCTGTCGTCCACGTTTACGGTAAGTGTTCATTCTGGGGATCCATTCCGTGGTCTTCCTTGTCCACTTCCCTATTTCGTCTCTTATGACGTGACCTGCCCACTTCAATTTGAGTTGCCTACTTTTTTGAATGACATCCTCAATTTTTGTGCGTTTTCTGATGTCGGTAGCTCTCTTCTTGTCACTCCTTCTGTATCCAAGAATACTTCTCTCCATGCCTCTCTGACACGTTCTTAGTTTGTTTTGCAGTGCTTGTGTCATTATTATAATATAGATTATTAATCTTCAAATATATTATTAGTATCCTAGTAAAAAGCGACAATCGCAATTGATTGGGAATAGTTATACTAATTAGAAGAACAGAAACTTCTTGCTCAGACATTGGCCTGGTGGTAGCAGTAATACCTAATATTGACACCAAGGTGGCCAGCCGCCTCGCCTATGACAGTTTCCGAATATACCTGATAAGGCACCATACTGGCATATTCTATTATTTCTCTTCACATCCTTAATATTGTTTGAAATAAATAAATAATGTTAGCCAAGTACTCTTTGTTGTCTGATGTTTAATATTGCATCACAACTATACAATGAAATAGACCATAACGAATATGTATAACTAATATGGAACACCAGATGTTCAGTACAGCTGCTTAATAAATAAATATTTCAAAAACTCACACCAATTAGCCTAACCCCAAAGAAAGCACTGTAGGCTTGTGTTATGGGATACAAGGGTAACGGATAGAATACATTAAACTGATACATATATAAGTATATTTATATAGAAATACATATTAAACATCCATGACTGGAGTAAAAATTCCGGGATTCGAACCCGGGACCTCTCGATTCGGCGATACCATGAAACCCGGCGTACAAAGCACTCGGCCACGGAGGTCGCCAAATAAATAAATAATTAAAATATCAACAGCTTGTGCAAAGCTCTACGGCTACTGGATAGTGGTGAACTACCGGGAGGCGTACGGAATGTTCGCCTGTAACGGGATTCTGTTCAACCATGAGAGCCCGCGCCGGGGGGAGAACTTCGTCACCAGGAAGATCACCAGGGGAGTCGCCAAGATCACTCTCGGCCTCATGTCGCACCTCGAGCTCGGCAACTTGGACAGTAAAAGGGACTGGGGACACGCCAGGGATTATGTGGAGGTATGTAGTTTTTTTTAGCAACTGGCCGTTTTCTCATCAGCCTGTACAAGACATTTTTTTTTTAATCTTTATTGCCATTACAATGCAAATGGCGGACTTAATGCCAGTATGACATTCTCTACCAGTCAACCAGAAAGAAGGTGCAGACAAAATCGATGGCGCAAGAGGTTAGCGCGTTCGGCTGCGATCGTTGAAGTTGAGCAACTTTCGCATTGGTCGGTCATTGGATGGGTGACCAAAAATTTACTATCTCCAGTTCCTCCGTGCTTCGGAAGGTACGTTAAGCTGTTGGTCCTGGCTGCATCTGCAGTCGTTAGCACCCGCCAATCCGCACTGGGCCCGCGTGGTGGGTCATGGCCCAATCTCCCTATTCCATCCATTGGGAAGGCCTGTGCCCCTGCAGTGGGGACAGTGAATAGGCTAGATATTATAGGATAGAATTTTTTGGGCACCCATCCAAAGACGGACCACTGCGAAAGTTGCTTAACTACAACGATCGCAGCCGAACGCGCTAACCACCTGCGTCATTGAGCTCCTCACATACTAATACACTCTGTATTATATCGCTTGCCCGACGCTTACAACAGACTGAGTGAGAGTGTTGATATCTTCCATGACTCTTTTCTATGATTTAGGACTAAAGTTTCTGAGTTATTAAGAGATGCGTTGGCAAATTTTATTTTTATTTTTGTCGTTAATTTCGTTATATCAAAGAGTTATATATATATTCGTTTTCTATTGTGTATAGTTTCAAAGGCGCCACTAATCTATACTTATAATAAATCTGTAGAGATGTCAATTCTGTACATGAAATATATTTTTAAAATAACTATCTGGGGGTGATTAGTGATCGATACTGATTCCAAAAATGCAATCAGCAAATTTTTTGTCTGCCTGTCTGTCTGTCTGTGTGTATGTTCCTTATAGAAACAAAAACTACTCGACGGATTTTAACGAAACTTGGTACAATTATTCTTCATACTCCTGGGCAGGTTATAGTATACTTTTCATCACGCTACAATCAATAGGAGCAGAGTAGTGAAGGGAAATGTTGGGAAAACGGGAGAAGTTACTCCATTTTTTAAGCTTCCGTCGCGTGTGCAGCCTTAACGATTAAAGTTACATAGAAATCATGTATGACGGAAATATTCTACATAAAATTGTCTAAAAAATATCACGCAACAGCATATGTCTATCTTTTATGGTTGACTCACAGTAACACGTGTAACTCCCGCTTAGCAGTTCGGAGCATTCTGATCATATTTGTTTACTCTTAAGTTTATAATACTCTGACTCATCCCTAATTTAAAAAAGTTAACATTTTTTTATTTTACATTCAATAAAAACAAAACATAGAAATCGGTATAGAACCACCAAACTTATACATGAAATAAGCCATCGCGCCGTCACACGTGAATACTGAATCATGCGGCGGGAGGTCCGAGAGCGAGCTTTCTAAATCTGTTTTCTGCGTCGCTCCCCCCCTGGGGGCGATCGCTTCCGATGAAGCCTTAGAGGCCTTCCCGGCCAGAGGCAGCCCCTACGGGTGTTTTTTAGTCAGTACGAGTCTGACATAACCTTGCAGCTGGCTGTAAGGTATCCATGAGGATTTCTCACCTGCTCCCCCGCCTGGGAGGAAACTAAAAAAATAAAAACGAGCTTCAATATTTGGCTGTATCAACAGCGTTCAGAGCGTTCGACCTTATTGACAGACAATAATTGAGAAATATTGAATAACCGTACTTATCAGCGCGACTTTTAGTCTTTAAATACTTTATTTGAATTTCTTTTGTTGTTATTTTGTAAAATAGGTATTAGTTGTTTTGGTAGTGTTTAAATATTCGTTCAAATTAAAAATTATTAAGTGTAGGTACTTTTATTAATTAAAGTTATAAGTATTTATTTTTAAGTGAAGTAGGTATAGGTAGATAGTATTGCACAGGCGTTTCAGCTTTATTTTCATTTCTTTTTCGTTGTGAGTTGTATATATTTCTGGTTATAATTCTATAAGAATATTTTAGTTTAAATAGTCACTTAGATTTTAAGTGTAAGGTAGCAAAAGTTAGGACCACGTATTAGTTGTTTTGGTAGTGTTTAAATATTCGTTCAAAGTGTAATTTAATCATATGGGATGAATGTACGATGGCCCATCGAAAAGGAGTAGAAGCGGTAGACAGAACTTTAAAGGATATAAGACAAAATGATCGATCAATGGGCGGTATCACAGTTTTATTTTGTGGTGATTTCCGACAAACCTTACCGGTAATACCACGGGGAACCCGAGCTGATGAGGTTAGGGCTTGCCTGAAAAGCTCTTATTTGTGGCGTGATATACAATCGGTGCATTTGACTAAACATGCGAGTGAGAACTGTAGATAACCCGGATGATCGTGAATTTTCTGATATATTATTAAAGAAAATACCTTCACCAAAGATACCTATCCACTGCTACACCAAGGAAAACTTATTCTGACGCCTGAGTTATGTTGTATAGTTCAATCCCAACAACATCTTACATCGTCAGTTTACGGTGACGTAACAAATATATTAAATAAGGACAATTCTTGGCTATGCGAAAGGTCCATTTTAACTCCTCGCAATGACCAGGCATCTGAGATTAATAATAAAATACTGTCGAATATCCAGGGGGAAAGCAAAGTTTATAGTTCAATAAATAGAATGGCCGATGAACAAGAAACCACTAATTACCCGATAGAACTTTTAAATTCTTTAAATATGCCCGGACTTCCTTCTCCTGAAATTTGTTTAAAAATTGGCATTCCGATTATTCTGCTCCGAAATTTAAGACCACCACAAATTTGCAATGGAACTGGGCTTAAAGTAACCCAGTTGCAACAAAATGTAATCGAGGCTCAAATTTTAACAGGTTGCGGTGCAGGAGAAACCATCTTTATTCCCAGAATTCCCATAATACCAAATAATTTTCCATTCCAATTTAAAAGAACGCAATTCCCAGCATCGGTGTGTAATGCAATGACAATAAATAAGGCTCAAGGGCAGACTTTTCGTGTTGCTGGAGTAGATCTCGGTGTCAGTTGTTTTTCACATGGTCAGTTATGTCGCTCTTTCCCGGGTTAGGAGTCCTAGAAATTTTTATGTTCACGTGCCGGACGGGTCAACTTTCAATGTAGTTTACCCGGAAGCTTTGCGCTGAAGTATTTTCATTCTATATGTACTTAAGCCTCATGTGAAAGCGATCTAAACAATATATCCAATACATTAACATAATAACATACAAGGAGTTACACGCTGATGGTCTCGGGGCACAGTGATAATAATAATATTCTGCGGTTCCTTATTGCGATATTTTTAACAGTATTGTGGATTGACATATTATATTTCCCTACTAAAATACGAAAGTTAATCTGTCTGTCACATCAAAACCACGGAACCCTGAGGAAGGACATATGCTACTTTTTACGAAAATCGACGAAAACGCGGACGAAGTCGCGGGCAAAAGCTAGTAGTTCATAAATTTCATTACTCATAATATCTTGTTTCAGTTTCGTCTTTACGTTTGCTTTTTAATTAAAATCCGGTCCGTTCGTACTGTCTCTTAAGCATGATGTGGCTACCTTCAATAGAATTTTGCATTTTGTATGTATCACTGTAATGTTTAAAAATAAGATTTAATGTAACTTTCTTTGGTGGTCCTAATAATTAAATTACAATGCCTTATATTTTGCAGGCGATGTGGCTGATGCTACAACAGGAACAGCCTGAAGACTTTGTAGTTGCAACAGGAGAGGCACATAGCGTGCGTGAATTCGTTGAGAAGGCGTTCGCTTGCGTCGACATCAGCGTGGTGTGGAGAGGAACAGGAGTAGAGGAGACAGGACATGATGCTAATACGGACAAGCTGCTGGTCAAAGTCAACCCGAAATACTTCAGGCCTACGGAAGTGGTGAGCTATGCTACTGCTATTTATTCTTATACAGGGTGTTACAAAAATACAAATAAAGCTTGAAGGGTGTTGAAGTACATCATTTATGGAGTCTTTTCTAATGTTCTCAAAATGTTTACATGATGATTAAACTTTTTATAAAAAACAGTTATTTTTAATTATTAATAAAAATATAAAATATTATTTTAAGACACGTTACTAGTTCGAGGATCATTAAAAATAACTGTTTTTATAAAAAATAAAAACTTCATGCAAATATTTTAAGAAAATTAGAGAAGACTCCTTATATGTAGTACTTCAACTTCCTGCAAGCTTTATTTGTATTTTTGTAACACCCTGTATAGGTACTAGTGGCCGCCCGCGACTTCCTACGCGTGGAGTTATTTTCACATACTTTTTGACCCCAAAAGGGGGTTTATTTCTAAAGATACATTATTAGTACACCTCTACACCATCTATAGAGCATACATGTTAAATTTCAAGTCTCTTACTTCAAAAACATAGGACATTCATACAAACTTCCAACCCCCGTATTACCCCGTTTGGGGTGGAGTTTCGTGATAATATGTAGCCTATATGAAGACCAGACTTCTTAATAATATTCGTGCCAAATTTGAAGTAAATCCATGCAGTACTTTTTGAGTTTATTCCGGACATACCTACATACAGACAAACAGACAAAAATTGTAAAAACTATATTTTTGGCTTCGGTTTCGATTGTAGACCACACCCCAAGTATTCTTTTAAAAAAATATTCAATGTACAGTTTTGGATTTCATTTTAAAATGGTATTTTATTATCTATCTAATATATAAAATTCTCGTGTCGCGGTGTTTGTGATTAAACTCCTCCGAAACGGCTTTCCCGATTCTCATGAAATTTTGTGTGCATATTGGGTAGGTCTGAGAATCGGATAACATCTATTTTTCATCCCCCTAAATGTTAAAGGTAATCCACCCCTAAATTTTTTTTTTTCAATTTTAGATATATTTTTTTAATTTTTTTATGATACATCATACAAAAAAACATACACTCCTAAATTTTCACCTTTCTACCACCAACCACTATTTTTTATGGCGGTACGAACTTCGCTGGGACAGCTAGTATGTATATATAGATATGCTACTAGATGTGCCCCGCGGTTTATTAGGGATATTCTCCCGCAATAAAATGAATTAGCCTATGTGTTAATCCATGGTGTCAGCTAACTCCATACCAAATTTGATTAAAATGGCTCCAGTCGTTTAGACGTGAAGAAGTAACAAACATACACACTCACAAACTCTGGCCTTTATAATATTAGTGTGATTAGTGTGATTTACTAGCAAACCAGTGAACCAAATGTTCACCAAAAAAAAAATGTATTAGTTAATTGAGAACTCCGGAGATTTTGTGTGGTTTCGTTTGAAATAGAAATCACGTTATTTCTCGAAAACCGGAAGTGCTACATTACTCAAATCCGGTTTGTAGTCTTATCAGACTATTCTTAACTTATAACTTAAACATTCTCTTTATCTATCTCTTACGGGTTGGCCGCTGAAACAGCACCACGGACGGACGGACGGACGGACTTGTCTAATAGATAAGAGATTCTTTAACCTTATATTATGTCTTACATGCGTCGACAATAACGAAGATTGCCCCCCATTGTTATTCTGCCGCGCTCGAGTTAAGCCAACTCCGCCTGGGTTCCTACTAAAATATAAGCTTGCATATCACTTCCTGAGGAGCTCGATGGCGCAAGTGGTTAGCGCGATCAGCTGCGATCGTTTAAGTTAAGCAACTTTCGCAGTGGTCGGTTATTGGATGGGTGACCATAAATTTACTCTCTCGAGTTCCTCCGTGTTTCGGAAGGCACGTTAAGCCGTTGGTCCCGGCTGCATCTGCAGTCGTTAGCACCCACCAATCCGCACTGGGCCAGCGTGGTGGGTCATGGCCCAATCTCCCTATTCCGTCCATAGGGAAGGCCTGTGCCTCAGCAGTGGGGACATTAATAGGCTGATGATGGTGATGATGATGATGATATCACTTCCTGTCAAGACAATCTGTTGTTAGTCGATAATTCCATTAATAAAACGCAAACGCTCATAGAAGTTTTATCTTGAAATTTATCTATATAGTTTATCTATTTAAATAAAATTTGATAATGATAAAATTATGGACTAAACAGATTTTGATATATAAATTAGTCATTCATTTCACAAGAATTGAAAATGAAATACTTATTTTAAATAAAATATTTCCAACATTTCCAACATTCACACCAATTAGCCTAGCCCCAAAGTAAGCACTGTAAAGGCTTGTGTTATGGGATACTAGGGTAACGGATAGAATACATATATTGTACATATATAAGTATTTTTATATGAAATACATATTAAACATCCATGACTGGAGTACAAATGCTCGTATTCATCACACAAACATCTGCCCCCATCGGGATTCGAACCCGGGACCTCTCGAGTCGGCGACGCCATGAAACCCGGCGTATAAACCACTCGGCCACGGAGGTCGTCAAACTTATGATTATTTGTGACTGTACTAGCGGCTAACTGCGACTTTGTCCAGGACATAAACTATACGCGTACCGAGTAACTGCGGGTTACTTTGACATAAAATGTGCACTTTTTTTTTCAAATAAAATTGTAGCTTCTCTTTGTGATGAATATGTCACGTTTACATCTTTCCATTTTTTTTTTTTTTTTCCATTGTGAACTTTGAAGTATAAGTTACAAAGTTATCATACGAAAATAGGAAAAAATAATATTTAAGGGTTCATAAATATTTTTTTTAATTTTGGGCCAAAATTGGCCTTAAAGAGGGTTACTTTAGCTCGTTGAGTTTTCTCTGTGAAAAAAACTCATTTTAAGCCATGTTGGGGTTAAGTAACCCTTATAACAGATCACCATTAGCATATTGTATACACAAATGGATGTTTTTACCCAAAAATAATTAAGTTAAAGAAAAAATTGTAAACTTACCGAAAACCACAGTTTTGAGAAAGTTTGCTCATGAACTTGCGAACTATTTCAGTTACAAAAAATCCCGCGTTACAATGACAGGTTGATACAGGAACGATGTCGGTAAAACAACACCACACTGTGCGCCTATATGGCTATCTGTGATTTTCAACTGGAACTATTACGGTCACCCAAGAGATACTGATGGGGCGGCAAGTTCAATATTTTTTCTGATTTGGGACAAAGTTACCCGCCCGAGCTAAAGTAACCCTCACTTACGGTACCAAAAATTCATCCAAATCTGTTCAGTAGTTTTTGCGTTATCACCCACGTCCAGATATCGAGACTGTATCCTATCTTACAATAAAAAAAATCAGTAGTAGTAATACGATAGATAACGGGAAGAAGAATTGATTTACCGCCTTATTCCAAAACTCGGACTAAAGTTAGTCTTGGTTTAAACCTAATGTTGTTTCAGTGTTCTTTTTATCAAACAAAAGTGACAGTATCGGTTTAGTCCAGGTTTATCTATAGTTTTTTAATAAGGCGGTTTGGGTTCAAGTTGTAATTTATTTATTTATATCACATTGCTCATGTACATTATTTATTATAAGGTCTTACATACTTAATAGTGAGTGGTACATGACCCCGTTGGGGTGTTGCAACAAACTTGAGCTTAACATTAAATACATTAATTTCACTTAATATAAAATAATTTTTTGAGTATCCCACAGAAACCTATCATTTTTCCAGGATAAGTTTCCGGTGTCTCAATCCAGGTCATAAACTAGATGTGCCTTATTACAAAACGTTAGTACAAGTTGGGAAGGAGCTCGATGGCGCAATTGGTTAACACATACGGCTGCTATCGTTAAAATTAAGCAACTTTCGCAGTAGTCAGTCATTGGATGGGTGACCATAAATTTACTGTCTCTAGCTCCTCCGTGCTAGGAAAGGTTGCATCTGCAGTCGTCAGCACCCACCAATCCGCACTAAACCCATGTGGTGGGTTATGGCTCAATCTCCCTATTCCATCCATAGGGAACGCCTGTGCCCCAGCAGTGGGGGCATTAATAGGCTGATGATGATGTGTAGTTAAACCTAAAGGAAATCTGATGCTGTCACTTTTGTTTCCAAACAAAGACGGTGAGAACATTAAACTTTATACTAAGGCTAACTTTAGTTCGCGTCTTGGAATAAGAGGGTATGCATACTAAACTTGATCCAAATTCTTGCAATAGTTTTCGCATGATTGATAAAAAAACTTTAAAACTTTCACATTTATATTAATAATTAGTGGGATAATGGTATTTTTATTTTATTTATTTATTAAGGATCCTCGGTGAATGATAAAAATGTCGCTGCCTTGCAGCTTAAGAAAGGCTAGAAAGAATTCAACATAGCCCTCAATGCTGGTCAGTGCATTTGTCCGGATAGCGAAGGGTGCGGGTTCGAGTTCCAGCCGCTGCCTGACTGATACGTGTGGAATTTTTCAGTGAATTATTATTTGGATTTAAATATATACATTTAAATATATATATCTCTTGTTAGGACTTGTTGCTCGGTGACCCTAGCAAAGCTAAGCAGTCACTGGGCTGGCAGCCGCGCGTATCCTTCGACCAGCTGGTGAAGGACATGGTGACCGCAGACCTGGCGCTCATGAGACGAGACCCGCAGGCTTAGAAACCATGCACGCAGAGCCCTGACCTGCCGGTCAGTATTCCTGTCGGATTCACTACGCTATTTAACACCCACACACACACCCACACCCACACACACACACACACATTCTCTCACACACACACACATTCTCTCTCACACACACACACAAACACACACACTCACTCACACACACACACACACACTCTCACACAATCTCTCTCTTACACTCACACATGCACCCCCCCCCCCCCCTGGCGCTTTGCTGTATGTCTGCTTATTAGGACCAAAACCCGATATGATAATGCGATTTTCGGCCAGTTTCAATAATCGCACCAGTAACAGGAATGAGAGTTGTTACCAAGATATTTTTATTGTAATAAAAATATCTTGGTAACAACGGATTTTCTACTATAAATAGTAGAAAATCCGAACCTAGATCGACCTTCACCGAGCTGATAATAGAATGAAACATATTTTATCATTATTGTAGTATATTACAAAATATATTAAAAATGGGTTGCCTAAAATAATTTCGGACAGACTTTTTTTTTCTTATACTAAATTAATCATAAAACATGTTTCATTATATTATCAGCTCGGTGAAGGTCGATGTAGTTTCGGATCATAAACCATTATAACGACTATCGTATGTAACGTCTTATAGTACAGATAAAGGAATAATTGCGAAAACCGTAAATTTTTAGTAATCATATATTTTTTTTTTTTTAAATTTTAAAGTTAGAGTCCGACTCGCACTTGGCCGGTTTTTAGTTGTTGCTAGGTTGCTAAAGACTGTGACGTCACACCTTACCTCTTCCCAAAATAATGCGCGTTTAAAACTCCCGAGCAAGTGGCTATTTTTAGCTAGAGACCGTCAAAACTTACAATTCTAGGTGGGCCGATAGATGTGACCGGAAGTGTAATAGCTCTAAGTTTTCTTAGGCAGCTAGCTGCGTTCAAAACCTAGGTGCAGCCACCTAGAGCGTAGGTTTTGAAATGTCAAAGTTGACACTAGTTTCATGCATTTTATGTCAAATTAAAACGTCAAGGTAAAAAGTTGCACTCAGAGCGTAGGTATTGAACGCAGCCCTGCTGCTGCTGTCACTTGAAGTGCTAGCATTAAAAAATATTCCGATTTCTTTACAGGTGCTATGATATTTCTGCACTACACATATATGATGGATGGTATATGGTTAATAGCATTTTTGTAATAGTATTATGTTACGATATATTTTGTTCACCCATGGTGTCGATTCTGGCTTAAACTTAAATTTGCCAACAGTGTGTCCTTGCAATAGGGTATTTGACAGTGTTAAAAATAAAGTGCCAATTGTTAGCATCTGTGTTAAAAATGAATATTGACAGAGGTTTTTACTATTTTTACTAAAAAAATATTCATAATTTTACTAAAAACTAACGAAAAAGATAATAGTTTTCTTATCTATTGTCACGTGACCCAAAATGCTTGGGATTGGCGGAGCCTAAAATGACGTCACACGCAAGTAAACTTCCAGTTAAAGTGACATTACATTGTATCGTTTGACGTTTTAATAACAGTCGTGTGACGTCACACACTAGTAAGACGCCATATTGTCCAGAGAAACGTTTTCACGTGGATATCTTTGCCCTTTTCCACTCCTCCTACTTACGAATATGCAGGAGCGAGTAGTTTTGTGTAGAAGTGGACACATTTTTGCTGAAAAGTTTTTTTAACAATCATAATTAAACCTCATTCATTTCCCAACTAAAACAAGTGTTTTGTCTCCTTTTAAGTACGAATGAACAAATCCGCACGCTTTCCGTGTCTGTTGCGGGGTCCATACAAAAGTGTCCATGCAAAATGTCCTTTAGTTTAAAGTTTGGAGAAACACGCCAGTATCGACACCATTGCCTCGCTATGAGTAATTTATACTGTAAAGTTAATTATTTTATATCTATTTTTATTATCCCATTTTAGTATTTAGGGTCATTTGCACTAAAGTCCGTTTAATTAAATTTTAATAAATGTAAACCACACAGTATTTATATTGACTTTGAATTGTTTACAATCATAGTGATATCTTTAAACTGGATTTTATTTAAATGGTCTGGTAAAAGCCTGTAATGTTTTATATATCATATTTTTCGACTGTAACTATTATTTTTAATTAGATATACGATAAAATAAGGCAATAGTGAAGTATTTATCAGGCGTATTTGACACATTATAAGTTCTAACTTTAAAGCATTGTAAGAAGTGCCATATTCGCAAAGCGACTGCTTACCGAATTCCATCATCAATTTTTGATTATAATATGCAATATGAATGCCCTGTCCTCCATTGAGGATGGACTCAACCAAACATTAGTTGATATAATTCGTTATTTAGTTACTTTTATTATTATGTATTTTATAATTTGTTCAAATGGACCCTATTTTTCATCTGCGGTCAATTTTAGCATTGTAAATAATGAAATGAGTTTCGGAAGAGCATATTTTATTTGCCGGATTCCTATGTCTCTGAATTCTCAATTCATCAGTACTAAAAGAATTTTCAAATTGTGTGCGAGTTTGGGAAAATGCAATAAAATTTTATCACATGATTTAGGCCAAACATACAATAAGTGGATATAAAATCGATAACAAAAAAAGCCGGTTTCTCGTAATTGTAAGTGACGCACATTATTTTATGAATTTACACGATACGAAGTTTTTTATTTATTTTAGTTTATATTTATGTAACATTCCATTTCTGTAAAAAAAATTGGAATAGGAATTATGTATGTTTGTTTTGTAAATAAAATTAAATATTGTTTAAGACTTGGTTTTTGTTTAATTCCGAAGTGCTGTATTTTTTTCTTTTTTATAAAATATATATTGACGTCCTCGTATGTAGACGGACGATAAGTAGCGTTGAAACAGTTGTAAAGAATAGGTTCCTATCATTAGACAATTTGCGTTCTCAGCTATATCCTCAAAATGAATGTTTATTTACACGTCTTTAAATAAACATTCAATCGAGCAAGCGCGACAGAACTGTACCCTTAGCACGAACCAATATCGAATTGGTATCGTTTGCGAGTCCGAAAGGTCATTGTCAAATGTGTACTGATTTTTAGTTCTCGTTACGTACTTTGTGCCGCTGCTGTTCAAATTTCCATACAAAATTTGACATTGACATTTCGGTTTGCAAACGTTGCGAATTCGATATTGGTTCGTGCTAAGGGTACAGTTCTGTCGCGCTTGCTCGAATGAATGTTTATTCACAGACGTGTGCGGTTGTGAAAGTTGCTTATGTAGTTGAGGGGCGGATCATATTTTATTTAATGATTATAAACGTACCGTATCTTCCCTTTTTGTTTTTATCTAAGTTCTACATAGATCGAGGGTGTAATGAGGGCTATCGCGTATGAATCCGCCGCTAGAGGCGCTTGTGTAGCGTGAGATCTTCGAAATGTCAAATGTTATTGCTTGTGGGTTAACAACGCGAGTTTATTTCTTATTAAAATTATGTAGCGAATATTTGGTAAAAACACTGATTAATTATGCTAAAATATGAGGTCTCTCGTCTCAATGAATGTCAGTGATTTAAAAGAGCAGCTAAGAAAAGTTATTGTCCTGCTTTTTTCCGAACAAAACAGAACTGCGCAACACTGTGGTATGGCCGATTACCTTTACGATACGGTTCTTTTGTATGAAAATATGATTTACAATTTACATGAAAACTTTGATTTCACTCAAGTAATAACAAACTTTAAAAGCTACACTTCAGGATTGCACTCAACAGTGGCGCCATCTGGTGAGACAAAAAACGGTAGCCCTCATTGACATAAGATACGAAGCAAATGGAAATCGGCACCACCATTTCAGCCATAAATACGACATGTTACCCGTCATCCTGGCTATTTCTGACGCACTATTTGCGTATTACACATCATCCTGGCTATTTCTGACGCACTATTTGCATGTTACCCGTCATCTTGGATATTTCTGACGCACTATTTGCGTGCTGGGGCTTTCTATATCTGCCGATAATTTTAATGCACGTGGCACACAGTAGGAAGGAAAATATCTAAGGTGTTTTGAAAAAATATACAGGCATACACGATTGATAACATTGTATCACTTTATTTAATATTAATCACATTTTCATCAATAATGCACATTGGAGATTTATCAACGTTAAGTGAAAAATTAAATATATAATCATAATAATGATCTACATACAAAATTACATTTACGTTATGTACAAAACAATATTCACAGTTAAAATATTTATTTTGAAGGTTCAATTGAAATTAAAATGTCCAAAAAAATATAATCAAATTTCGGGGTTCTTAAAAAATATTTTTTACAGATACTGAATTTTTTGTAACATGATTTCCACTAACTACATTTTAAAACGTAGCCGCTTCAGTCATTTAAGTAGTGTTTTATTTAGACATTTAGACAAATGCTCCCAGTTCTAGCTGTATAAATAAAAAAATATATTATCACATGACAACATTATTTAAATATTCTAGGTACCCGTACCTTAAAAGTATCGAAAATAATAATTATAACGGTTTTAATGTCATGAATGCATTAATTAATGCGTTTTCAATAAATACCTAACAGTTTCTCATGATGTCAAGTATAAATTACAAAATATATTATTAGTAGATACTACAATTTACAATAGGTATACAGTGCAACCTCAATATAACAAATTCCTTCAGATTTCCGATTCCGTCGGAGCGAATGTAGAAATTGAACGTTGTCGCCCGGGGGACGGACAAGAAGCGCGGTTGCTACAAGGAGAGTATTGTACGCGAGACGAGCGTAAACTGTTCAGTTCTGGTGCCCGCGCCTTTCCTACCAACTATTTAAGTACGGCGCAAACGCTGAAATTGAACGGTGAAATGTGAGTCGCATGGGGGACGGACAAAGACCGTTGTTCGCCGCAGTTGTTTCTAGGCGAGAGGAGCACGCGGGGCGAATGAGGCGATCGTAGACACTGCGGGGAAGACGGACGCGTACCGGCACTAATTTAGTACGGAGCTAGTCCCTACCAACTACTTTAGTACGGAGCTAGTTGAAATTGTACGGTGTCGCCCGGGGGAGGGACAAGGAGCGCGGTTCAACGCAGTTGTTACGAGGAAAGTATTGTACGCGAGGATTGAGCATAAAGAGTGTGGTGAGCTCAGACAGCCGGCTCAGTTCCTGCTAACTACCTATTTCAATACGGAGCGAGCGTTAAAATTAAACGGTGATAAGTGAACCGCGCGGGGGAAGGACGAAGACCGTTGTTCGCCGCAGTTGTTTCTAGGCGAGAGGAGCACGCGGGGCGAATGAGGCGTCCGTAGACACTGCGGGGAAGACGGACGCGCACCGGCACTAATTTAGTACGCGAGTGTTGAAATTGAATGGTCATATGTGAGCCGCGCGGGAGAGGGACAAAGGCCGTTGTTCGCTAAAGTTGTTTCTAGGGGAGCGGGGAACGCGGGGTGAATGAGGTGATCAAAGACAGCGCGGGAAGGGGGAGAGCGGCACGCCCATGGCGGGGTAGGGCCGCGAGCTGCTCCCTACCAACTACTTTAGTACGGAGCTAGTTGAAATTGAACGGTGTCGCCCGGGGGAGGGGCAAGGAGCGCGGTTGAACGCAGTTGTTACGAGGAAAGTATTGTACGCGAGGATTGAGCGTAAAGAGTGTGGTGAGCTCAGACAGCCGGCTCAGTTCCTGCTAACTACCTATTTCAATACGGAGCGAGCGTTGAAATGAAACGGTGATAAGTGAACCGCGCGGGGGAGGGACGAAGACCGTTGTTCGCCGCAGTTGTTTCTAGGCGAGCGAGGCACGCGGGGTGAATGGGGTGATCGTAGACAGCGGGGGGAGGGGGGGTGCGGCACGCTGGTGGCGGGGTAGGGGCGCGCGCGAAGCTCCTCCGCGCTACGGAACGAGCCGCGGGTCGTGCGACGTTTGTACAGGGATGAGGTAGAAGACTCCTGCAATAGGCATCTGGAATAAAATAGAAAAAGCGAAGCTCGCATTAAAATGTCAGTAACTCTCTAGAAGATGATGCAACCTATGACCGTATGTTCGGTTTCAAATTTATTGAATGCGTTAGATATGATAACGTAACATTACATCAGCTTACCCACCTTTTCCTATCCCTTGGACGATTTTTTATTGCAATACGAGGGTAGACAGGCAGTATCTGTCAGCTGCCTGTTACAACTACGACGCCATAGCGATCGGTCGACTACGGAAAAGCCCCGATCCAAATTACCTAGTTTCTCGCGACGGTTGTTCAACTAGCACAAAGGAATATTAGCAGATCACCCGATTACGTGAAGGACAATGAGAAGCAGAAAAAGCTGGGAAGCCGACCTTACTGGTAACAGTTACATAAAGTAAGCAGATTGAAACCTAGTTGTTCATTAGGCTGAGTTTCCACCAGAGATGTGCGAGGATGCATAGCGAGGGATGTGTTTGTAAAGAACCAATAGAATCGCTTCATTTACCTCGCCTCGGTCAGCACAGCTCTGGTGGAAACGGCTCAGCGGAGCTAGATTTTTGCGCATACAAAACAAGCGACGGATGTGTACGAAGGATGTGTACGAGGAATGTGGGTTGAGAAGGATGTGTTGCGAGGTTTGCGCATACTGTACCAGCCAGTCCATAGACGGAGTTTGTTGGAAGTAGAAGTGCACAAAATAGATATGGATAATTGGAAAAAGAAGATACTAGTTTATATTTAAGAATAGGGATGATGACTAATTTTTTTTTCTTCGTTTATCAGGTAGATTATCAAAAAGTATTGGACACGTATTTTTTCTTTTTTCACATAATATAAACATTGCAGAGATATATTGATTTGAAAAGTCGCATGACGTCACGTTTGAGTACACTTATAAGGGAAAACTCCCAAACTTTGACGCGCTATAACTTTGTTATTTTTTGGTTGATTGCTCAAAGAAAAAATACGTGTCCATTATTTTTTGATCATCTAACTGACGGACTAAATAGAATTTCGTTTAATGTATCCCGTCATCACCCCTATTTGCGATGAAGAAATGGAAGCAGAAGATAAAGCAACGCATCCTCGTACCACACATTAATGCGCATTTTCACAGCTCCGCTACACATCCTCGTAGGCACATTTTCATCGCCCAGTTTTGGTGGAAATCCCCACACATTTTCACAGCACAGCTAGGCATCGTCGCACGACACATTTCCATCGCACATCTCTGGTGGAAACGCAGCCTTAATTTCAAAGGGCGGTGCCAGCGCTGACCCGCGCCTTTCGGCACTTGTCGGCCCTGGTCCATGGAAATGCTTGCGCCGGTTACCGGTAAGGACCAGCGCTGATAAGCGCTTCTGTATACGGCCTATGGGTGCAATCAAAATATAGTGCAATTTAAACTTCATGACGATTGTGATGATGGCAGCAAACGCAACAATGCCCAGGTTTCAGCGCGGTGAAATGCCGCGCGCATACATACATTTCGCTCTACATTTTATTTATTACGCCGCAACTAACGCTAACTTCACAGCCGTTAAGTTGGAATCGCACTTTACCCGTCTCTCTCATCCATACATTTGTACATGGGAGATTTCATAGCAAGGACAGCCGTCTAGTAAAATTAATTCTGAAGTGAATTTTTCAACTGTTTATTTCTAAACACTATTTAAGGGTGGGCCGTAAGTATATTTATATAGAAATACATATGTAAACATCCATGACTGCAGTACAAATGCTCGTATTCATCACACAAACATCTGCCCCCACCGGGATTCGAACCCGGGTCCTCTCGAGTCGGCGACACCATGAAACCCGGCGTATAAACCACTCGGCCACGGAGGTCGTCAAATAATAAATGTTTAATATTATTATCATATTGCTTATAATCTCCAAAAAACAAACGAGCAATGATACGTCTTATCGACACTTCGCTAGTGTTAAAAAGATCTAAATTTACCTGTTTTGATAATGAATTGAAGCTACTGCTTGCTAGACAAAGAAAAAAAATGTACACACATCAAAAGTGTCTAGGGATCAACATATATTTTTGCAATAACTTTTCTCCTGATTGATATTAATTAAAATTTTCTTTAAGGATTCATCAAATAAAGTGTTTTCGTTTGTCACAGTAACGATAAACCAAGTCACCTTTGCATTAATAAAGAAATTTGCCATTTTCCTAATAAAGGGATTTTTGACATTTGAACCACTAACACAAAAGTTCGAAAAAAAGACTGAAATAACAGTTTTCTCTAAAATTTTATTGGGTAACTTAAACAATTAATAATCCGTATTTCTACCGCGAACACTAACAACACAAGAACATCGGTTTGGCATACTCAAAATGAGTTCATCCAAATCACGCTGTGGAATGGCCGCCCATGTTCGTTGCAACAACAAAAAAAGGTCTTCTTGCGACTGGATACCCTCCATATTCGGCAGAGCTCTTCTCTGTAGCATATCCCATGCATGCTCAATCGGGTTCAAGTCTGGCGACTGAGCAGGCCAGGGCAGGACATTGATGTTAGCTGCGGCGAGAGTCTGTCTTACAACTCTTGCGGTGTGCGGTCGTGCATTATCATGCATTAACTGAAATAAGGGACCGATTTGCACTTGTAGAGGAACGATGACGTCTGATACAATCGTCTCAGCATAAATTTGAGCGTTGAGGTTGCCTCTGATCCAAATCAACTCAGTTCTTCCGCCGATCCAAATACCCGCCCATACCATGATGGTTCCACCACTATAAGGATGGACTTCCTGGCAGGATTTTAATCGCTGTTGGCGTCCAGGGGTTCTCCAGTGTCGTATACGTCTTGTATCCGGTCTCATACCAAAACGAGACTCATCAGAAAAGCACACGAAACGCCATTGTTCTTCTGCCCAATTTCTGTGTTCAAGAGCCCATTGATATCGAATCCTACGATTGTGCATTGCTATAGGTGGTACCCGTAGCGGTCTTCGGGAATGAAGGTTCACTTCATGCAAGCGGTTTCTGACTGTTTGGTCGCTAATTAAGTTCCCTGAAGAGTGATGAAGCCTCACGGCTAACATCATGGCGGTTATTGTTGGAGCTCTTCGAGTTAAGATTTGAATGTATCGGTCTTGTCTCCGTGTGGTGCAGCGATATCGTCCTCCATGGCGCTCAGCCACGGTACCAGTGCTTCGGTATCGTGTCCAAAGTCGACTGATAACACTCTGACTTGTATTCAGAGCTAAAGCCACAGTACGTTGCCGGGAACCAGCTTCTATCATTCCCACGGCTCTGAGCATTTCTTCCCTGCTTAAATGACGTCGCCGCTCCATAATAACGTTGGTTTTAATCAGTAGTAGGGAAACAGTAGCACTAATAATGTCTTCAATGTGTTGTATGTTTTTATAGGGAAAATATTGACAGCTGATTTTCATCTTTTACTCGAATTTGATTCACAGTTCCTGATTCAAATTATGAAATGCACCAAAAAGGATCCATATAAATTTATAAAATCATAAATTTATTACAAAGCCACATCTCAATCTCAAGAAATCCGCATAAAAATGCTTGATCCCTAGACACTTTTGATGTGTGTAGTATGCAATGTATCAAACTTGTTGGAGAAACAAAATATCTGAAGTGAATGAGTGATTAATACTTGTCAAGATATTAGTTGTCTATGCAGTGTAAACGAAAAAATGTTTTAAACAACCACCAACAAGTAGGTATTTTACAAGTTTTGTACAAAACTAAGTTTATGACTTGTTTCTTCGTGGAAACGAGGGGTTAGTACCTATACTAAATAACATTTATAACACGCTTTCGCATTTTCAAAAAATCGATCCAAACAGGAAGTGCATACTTTAAGTAGGTACATAGGTACTTCTCCCGGTGTGCCTCTTGAAGGCGCCGTCGTCTGTAAACAGAGGTTTTGCCTTCGTCACAAAAAAATAAATAAAAAAGGTACATACTTCTCCAACTCTGTGAGTAGTTGCTTCGGCGTGGAGGCAGCGACTGGTCGCGAGCGGCCGAGCTTGGCGCGCGTGCTCTGCAGCATCTGCTGCGTCACTAAGGGCTGAGGCTCCTTCACGGCGGGCTTCGTTCGAACCGGGTTATCCTGAAAGTATTGAAGAACACACATTGAGCCGCTGAACGCGACCATTAGTGGCTCACCCAAGCCACTAGTCGCCGCACATGGGCCACCGACCACAACCACAAAACGCCGCCGCGCCACCGGCATACTTCTTGTAATTTTCATACATTTTACATGGACTCGGTACGCCGGTGGCCGCCACTCGCTACAAATCGTCGTTGCTCGCTTCTTGTGGCCCGCACCGGCCACTTAATGCGCCGATACAAAACGCCGCCACACGTCACTCTCGCGATTCCCCACCCCTCTCTCCCTTGCCTTAGTCGGCCGCTGTCGCACGCTTCAGCCGTTTTAGTAGCCGCTTCTAGCTTCTCGTAGCGGCGTTTGAGGCTGTGGTGTGTGGCCCGTGTACGGCGACACTAAAGGTCGCCACACGCGACAGCCACAAACGCCGCCACGAGAAGCTAGAAGCGGCTACAAAGGTAGCTGAAACGCGCGACAGCCACTTGTGGCCGGTGGTCGACACTTGCCGTCGGTGGCTGCTATTTTTTTTATTCATGCGTGCAGTATCGTAATAGACTCTGACGAAGAAGGTTTGAAAGTGGGGAATCGCATGTGTGGCGTGTAACGGCGTTTTGTATCGCGCATTAGTGGCCGGTGCGGGCCACAAGAAGCGAGCAACGACGATTTGTAGCGTGTGGCGGCCACCGGCGTTAACCGTGTGCGGCGAGTCCACATAAAATGTATGGAAACTTCAGGAAATATGCCGGTGGCGGCGTTTTGTGGTTGTGGCCGGTGGCCCGTCTCTCTCCCGGTGGCTGTGTCTAGTGGCTTGAGTAATCTACCAGTGATTGCATTTAGTGGCTCAATACACAGTCCGAAAGTATATTTGTAATCCCAAGGCAAGGTATAGATAAAGCATTCGTCTTGCAGAATCGACAAAATTGAGGAGCTCTATGGCGCTGGTCGTTAGCGCGTTCGGCCTGCGATCGTGGATGTTAAGCATCTTTCGCAATAGTGGATAATTGGATGGGTAACCAAAAGGCTGCATCTGCAGTCGTTAGCACCCATCAATCGGCCTTTGGCCCGCGTGTTGGGTCATGGCCCGATCTGCCTATTCCACCCATAGAGAAGGCCTGTGTCCTAGCAGTGGGATCTTTTAATAGCTTGATGATGATTAAATCAGAATCGAGAAAGAAATCAGTATCAGCTAGGGACAGCAACCTTTTAATGTGTCTTGTCATTAAAAGTCAGAAACCCTCTACTACACTAAATTAACTCAGACTCAAACCCACGTATACAGTGCCGTGCCGTCTTTGACCTATTGGAGGCCCTGGGCATAATAGGATAATGGGGCCCCTATGACTTCTGTTCGGCGATTTAACAGGAACTTATTTGATCTGAGGGGGCCCTCTATCGACCGCGGGGCCCTGGGTACTTGCCCAAAGTGCCCACTGGGAAAGACGGGTCTGCACGTAAAGTAGATAACCAGGGCCTAGTGCTTCTTAGGTACTCGCCTTCCATCGAAACTTGTACGGTAGAGGGCTTCGGTATAATGTCGTGCATTTCCTATAGGTATTCTATAATGATCTGAAGGTTGAACAGAAAATAACCTAAGCCTGGTCTCATACTTATATTATAATATAGAAAAATAAACAAAAAAATTATAACAAAACCACCAAAAATTTGCACATAAGTAAGTATGTTTTAAATTGCGGTCTACTGTAAAGTGGACGTTACTTCCCTAGATGGATGTTCCAAACATGACTTAATAGGCTAGTTGACCCTTTTTGGAAAAAAGGTTTTAAATGGTTAATAAATGTTCTGTTCGGCCAAAAAAAATGTATTGTATTTTTTTGTGACCTAGAAAGCTACAAATCTTTAATTTTAATATAGACTTTTCATGGACATACAAAATCGCTGTCGGCCATTTTAGTCTATAGATTATCTATGCTATGACGTCAACCGGTAGTAAACAAAAACTCGTAAGCACGCAGAAAATGACCTGTCTGAGTTACTAATAAAAAAAACATGATTTCTAATTAATATCACAAAAATATAGTAATTATCATTATTGTATTGTACGAGAATGTAAAAACACATCCTTGAAGACTTCAGGAAAGTTGTGGATTAAAGTGCCGAAAGAAATTAACCTACGCAATACCTGGTTAGAACTAGCTAAAAGGGATCCTGCAACTTTAACGACTTATAGTAAAATTCATTTTTGCGAAGAGCTCTTTGATGTAAGTACTCATTGAATAATATTTGAAGCCTCTTCATTTATTATCAATTTTAATAAAACAAGTTTTAAGGTTATGTATGAATGACATTTAGTTGTTTACTACCAAAGAGACGTCACAATCATGGCGGATGTGGCGAGCAGCGTTTTTAGTGTTTAAAAAGTATAGACTAAAAATTATTTTTTTAAATTAAATTTCTACAGCAATCTTCTGCATTTATGAAATCGATATATTTAGGTTCATTAGACCAAGCACGTTAAGAAATAAACATTTATTCAATACAATTCGACGTAAGTCAACTAGCCTATTAATGTTAAAAATTATTAATTCTCTAATGCAAACCTTTCCAAGCTATGGGTGTTTGTCCACCGCGGCCGTCACCGAGACCGAGAATATTTTTTCTGTATGAGATTAAGATGACGTGACTGGCTTGTGGTAGTCAAGCGGCTATATTAAAAGTATTTGTCGCTACTTCGGGAGCCGTCATCACGTTCTCGTTGAAGTGTCGTTGACGGCCACGGTGGACAAACGACCTATGGCTGCAATATAAATAAATAAATATTTTCAACACTCACACCAATTAGCCTAGCCCCAAAGTAAGCACTGTAAGGCCTGTGTTATGGGATACTAGGGTAACGGATAGAATATATATACTGTACATATATAGTTAAGTATATTTATATAAAAATACATATTTAATATCCATGACTGGAGTACAAATGCTCGTATGCATTACACAAACATATGCCCTCACCGGGATTCGAACCCGGGACCTCTCGAGTCAGCGACACCGTGAAATCCGTCGAACAAACCACTCGGCCACGGAGGTCGTCAAATGCTGTTACCTTTGCCTTCCTAAGCTTCACGTTGGCTATATCTTGAGGCGTGATGGTGAGTCGCGGGCCAACTATCCTGGGCGGCGCTGACCCACACCTTGGTATAGTGTGCGAGCGAGTCAGCTTGCCTGTCCCTGTCGCAGGAGGCGGGGGAGGGGGCGGGGGCGGCGGCGGTGGTGGCGGCGGAGGGGGAGGGGGCGCCGCTGACGGAGGCGGGGGCTTCGGCTGGCATTCGTGGCGTCTGAAATAGAAAGAATGACCGCGATGTTTTCTGAATATATTAGGTAAGTCCTTGGGCGCATGCACATTGCGGACATACATTGGTGCAGTATTGGTGCAAACCAAACGTTCTAATGGCCGCGTTCGAGCTACAATCTGAGGGAATCGCCCGATACCCGCTACTGGTGGGCGCGTTTTGTCGCTCGCACCGCGCGCTCACTCGGCCATAGGACTTCTTCACTGCTATAAGCCGCGGCACGAAACTCTAGCGCTGACCGTTATTGCGCAGAAGTAAAAATTAAGATGTCTTGGGGGGAAACGAGGTGCGCGGGCGGGTGTGCGTTGCGCCGATTGGTTCTCCAGTCGTACCCATGCGCAGCTATCCCCTCCGCGTTTTGTTCAGCGCTAGAGTTACGTGCCGCGACCTGTACCACCATAGGGAAAGTGATCACTACGTTTTAGCCACCACGCAATAGCGGCTGCGATTGGTGGTCGCGTTTTATGGTCCCGAAAAGTGGCTCAATGTGCGTTTGCGCTTTATCGAAAGATAGTAGATAAGCTTCATACTTATATGTACCATTTTCATCTCTATGCTGTCAGCACTCGACGAAAAAACATTGGGATGCAACAATTTATGATGATGATATTTATTTAGTGTTTTCTTTTCAATAACTACGTCGCTAACGCTCGTCGACGTTTATGTTTAACCTTATAACTCTTTACAACGACCTTGTAGTAAGGCGAAAGAAGCGCATGGGTGGAAGTTATACCAATCTCCATCCCATATTCCCATGTGCTACTTTCGCCGCTACCTATTATTTTACCTATTTTACCTATCATGGAATTTAGCTCACCTGTCTCCCTAGCATAAGCACCGCGAAATGATATATATAACGCGTTTTTATTACACTCAATTGGCACATTACCATGGAGTTTGACAGTTACACGGCAAAGAAAGTGATAAAATGTAAATTGTGGCGCTGGCGCATGCTACGGGGAAAGGACCTAACATGATAATTTGTGCATACTTAAGCCTCTCTTCTAACTCCTGCATCTTGCTCATCATGCTCTTCATCTGGTCGTGTAGCATCTGATTCTCTTGCGTAAGCCTCGTCTGCTTGACGCCGACCTCCTCGAGATGTCTCCGGAGCTCAGTGATCTCCTCGTTCTTCACGTTGTCCCTTCGGTCTATTGGCTCTCTGACCATTTCAGAGTATAGGCCTGTGATGGATTGATAGCCCTGTACCAATTGACGATAAAAAATTATATAGGTAGTTATGTATTGCCAAAACTTTTATATTAGGTATACCTACATCCCATTTCCATTCCCAGCAATTTTACACAAAAACGTCTACTGCGCTAGTTTATTTGTCTATGGTTTTGCTGAAGTAGTTTGCCGCGAAATACCCTTGCTCTTTTATTAGCCACAATTATTTTTTTAGCTTTCTGTTGTAAAAGTCACAAAGTAATAAAATCTATAAAAAACAAGATATAGTGTCTTATTTATACTTAGAAACTATTTATTTTGTAATAATAATGTAGTTTTGTCGGGTCTTCTCGATGGAACAAAATAATTGTCTCTCGTCTATCTGCAGATATGGAAACAAAAAGTAGATACTTATGGTATTTTGATCTATAAGCTCTACACAACTTTGAAAGCACTGAACGTAAATAACTACCGTACCGTGTTTGTTATAATAACATAGTTCTTCAATTATTATTTTACTAACCTCCTAATTAGCTCACAGAATCGTATATGCCGGTCATAAAACAAGTACTATTTAAAAATTGTACAAGTAACAACAAGCCCTGATCAAGATTCAAGTTAAATACTTAGGTATAAATATATACTTCCAATCTATTTAAAAATAAACTTTAAATTACCTTTAAACCCAACGTTTATTTACCTTTCTCCCGATCCATGTGCACAGATCAACAAACCGCCAAGATTTCGCTTTTCCCCGACGATGGCTCTTTTCCTTCTTCGGCGTTCCACCTGACAACATAAACCAATCCACTTCACTCAAAAGTAAACTGTCTAACGCAGACTCCAACTCAATTTCCACAGTAACACGATTAATCTCATTCGAGGAGTCACCCATTTCTGAATTAAGTCTACTCGCGAGTTTGAAACCGGTAACTGCAAAACACGCAAACTTCAATTATATCAAGTGATGATGTCACCAATAACTTTAACGAATTCCCACGACAGAGATGACCAAACACAAAATATAAAACAACTCAGTAAGTTGAGTTGCAGAACGTGTTTTGAACATAAAATGTACAAGAAATTATCTTAACAGTAATCCCGACTGCATTCTCATACGAAATAAGAATTCTATACCTATTTTTAATTAAGATTGTTAGGGTTTGGTTTGGAAACTTTAGTCAAGTAGGTACTGGATCGTAAGTAACAGAGTTACTGCACAACTTAATTACCTATTAACTTATACAAAAGATCGGAGCTAGATAACGTAGGTCAGAGTTGTGCATTTGTTGTTCCAAAACGAAATTGGTACACATGCCGTAATCTGTGTCATTCATACTTATGATGTCATGATATTGGGTAAACGTAAGATAGGCTACTAATCAGCAATCATGTTTAAGTCGATGAATTTTTCATAGCCCAAATCTTTGATACGTCTTTTTAGGAACCTGTACCCAAAAAGTGATAATTTATAACAAAACCTCTGCAGTGCCGCACGTCCGTCCGTCTGTTAGCGGGATTTATCCCGTGAACTATAATTTATGAGTTGAATGGCACAAAATGTAAATAACGATAAATAATAAGTTCAACATAGTTACATTTTCTACATTTTTAGCTTAACCTAATTTTAAATCTTGTATTAAATAGATACGCGCGTGGCGCGTCGTAGGGAAATTTCATTGGGAACTACTTAACGGTATTTTTTTAATATTTCCAACACACAACAATTAGCCTAGCCCCAAACGAAGCACTGTAGGCTTGTGTTATATGGGATACTAGGATAACGGATAGAATACATATACTGATACATATAAAAGTATATTTATATTGAAATACATATTAAACATCCAAGACTGGAGTACAAATGCTCGTATTCAGCACACAAACACCTACCCCGACCAGGGGTTCGAACCCGGAACCTCTCGAGTAGGCGACACCTTAAAACCCAGCGTACAAACCACTCTGCCACGGAGGTCGTCAAATTAAAAACTTAACTATATAAAATATATCTTGTGTAATTGTTTGCATGATAAAAAGTTCTAGTCAATTATATGCACAGAACACGGAAACGTCCTTCTGTGTTCTGTGATTACATATTTATTTTTTTATGTTAAAAAGCTGGCAAACAACTGTATGGCGCACTTGATGGTAAGCGGCCATCATAACCTCTAGACGTATAGTATCGCAAGAGATACCAACAAGAGTCTCACTCGCACCGTTGCTTACCCTGATCTGATCCTTACCTCATGAAGCCCTGAAACCTCACTTAACGACAGAAACACAACTACCAAAATGCAGTGTTATATTACTGAGGTCTTAACCCAAAGGGCGCTCTAATTCAAGCAGGAAATCCGCTATACTCTACATTTTTAATAAAGTTACAAAGACCGAGTCACGATATGAGATGCACAGTCAAAAGTTTCTACGTAAAAGTGACTCGCATTCATACATTTCAGTAGCAATTTGGATGACATTGTGTCATCATCATAAATGTACACTATTAATGTCTCCTCTGCTAGGGCGTAGGGCTTTCCCTAGGGCAAGGAAGAGGAAGAACAGGCCATTAGTACCCTCACCTTTCAAAGAACCAGGAGCTTTTTATCCTTTTTATTGGGATAGTTGAAGAAATATATGAATTTTGATAATAGATATTTATATTACGTAAATTGAAGAAAATTTTATTTTGATTGTACATAAGATTGTTGTAAATGTTATTCATAAGAACACCAAGTATTGCGATACCCTGACAGGGTTCAAGTATCGGACTTTATAACATGTACAGTAGAACCCGTTTAATACGATCACGCTTAATACGATTTCTCGCATTAGGGTGCGGCCAGAGTGCACTCAGATTCAGATTCAGATTCAGATTCCGAAAACAAGCGCGAGAAATAAACAGTGTAGTCGAAGGGTACGGCCAGAGTGCACTCCTGATTCAGATTCAGATTCAGACTCAGAAAACAAAGCGCGAGAAAAAGCAGGCAACCTGCTTAGACTACACTGTTTATTTCTCCCGCTTGTTTTCAGAATCTGAATCTGAATCTGAGTGCACTCTGGCCGCACCCTTAGACGCCATTTTGCGTCAGTCCCTGCAACTTGATACATGTTTTCATATATTTCTTAACGCTTAATACGATTCGTCGTCCCGTTTAATACGCCTAAATCGCCAACACGTACCACACATATACCTCTATATATTACCTCTTGCAGCAGCATAAAATTCAATGAGAATGTGAATAACACACAAGAAGTGGCCCTAAATGATAATGATCAAGTAGAAGATGAGTCAATTCCGATTTTGTGTTTTTTGAATCAAAGCGAAGACGCATTGCAAAAGTTAAATTATGTTGAAAATCTTGTATTTGCTAATGCCTCAAAACCATTTTGACAAACTAATAGAAGTGATTAATTTAAATAACGTAATAATAAATAATAATACACTACATTTTATATAATATACATAATTCTTAAATATTGTACATATGAATTCGAAATTACCCTACCCCGCAACCCCCCATAATACGCTTTCCCGCTTAAGACGCGTTTTTGGTTGAGTCCCTGTAAAATCGTCTTAAACGGGTTTTACTGTATTTAACCATCTCTGTAACTATATGAATGCAATAAATTATTTGGTATAACCCCCTACCCATGAGTAGTCATCGCGGAAGTTCCTTATGTTCCATGATCATAGTTTAGGTACTTGGCCACTCACCACTGAAGTACATTAAATAGTTGTACCTTGTATCATCATTTTCATTTACCAAAACATCCTAGTGTTATGCAGATCCCTATATTGCAGTGAATGTGAAATCGTGAAAACCTTGACTCTTTTAAATTATGATTGTGCTTACTCATGTTAAAAGTTCTTCTGGATCTCTGCAGCGCGTCTCTGAATAAGTTCGATTCGGATTTCAACCACCGTTTTCGAACTTTTAGGGAATGATTGCTATTGATGGACTTGAAGGACATCTCAGAGGCACTAGTCAACTGACTCGATGTTGCGCTGGGCGAAGATTCCAGTTCTGTCAAGTCGTATGTACTCGTCGAGCTGATGCATTTTGTCTTTTTCAAGGGTCTGATCTCCTGTACGTCACCGTTGGACTTACATCTGTGGCGTTTACTGCGTACATAATGTTCAGAGTCCTCATTCGACGTAGATTCGTACAAGTCGTAGTCATTTGCGGAGAAAAGACTTACGTCGGCTTCACTACAGTTGACTGTCAAGACAGGTTCACTCTTGGAGGGGCTACAGCTATTGTTAGGACTTCCAGCGTCTGTTATCATGATGCTCACGAACGGAGGTGTCTTGTTTATATCCTTATGTTGCTCAGAAAAGGACTTATTGAAACAGTTCTCCCAAGAGGTATCTATCTTTTCCTCTTTTGAACATCGCCGTATAAGTTCTACGGAATTTACGAAATCCACAGCGTCTTCGTCCTCCGTGTCAATCGAGTCGACGTCAATTCCTTGATTCCCTCTCAAAGTCATTATTTGTCAGAATATTTTGCTTTTTTAACTATGATTAAAATTAACTAGTCACAACTTTAAATAACTTTGAAAGAAGTATTTATCAATATTGTAGAAATGTCAATTACTAACTAAATGAAATCGCAGTCAAATACTCGTCAAATCAACCTTCATGAAAAATAAAATCTCAAAGTACCCACTTTTTGAAGTAATAAAATTGTAACTTAGATTATCTGTCAAAACATTTAAAAAAATCCCGAAATAACATCATTGCTAACCTGAGTTGTCCTAAAGTAAATCGACAGGGTATCTAGCCCCCAGCCCTTAGACTAGTAATCGTTGTCTAAATTCTAGTGTGAAACAGTTTTCTTAACAAGCATCTTAAGCAACGGATAGGTTTTAACAATCTCCTCAAATTTCGTTTGCAAATAGGGCATTCTTCTTCTTTTTATTGAATTATGTAGAAAATCATAGAAGCAGTCTAGTTTCTCACTGAGACTCAGTAATGAATATCATGGAAATAACGTATAGAAGCCAGAAGCCATAAATAATCAGGTTAGAAACATGCTATTTGCTTCAAACACTGTACTCTGTAGCCCTAATGCCGCGCACTTCAGACCTATTGATCAGATTACTCTGAACTGACTATTAAAACAGAAATAACAGAATAAGTACGTATGGAGAAGAATCTTTCATTAAACAAAAAAAAAATAGTTTTAAGTTTACCGAACCCTTCCAGAATCGACACCATTGTCATCATCTTTATAATCTGTGTGCATGTACCAATGGTCTTATCTGGCTACGGGTACGGCCAGAGTGCACTCAGATTCAGATTCAGATTCAGACTCAGAAAACAAGCGCGAGAAATAAACAATCTAGTTAAAGCAGGGTGGCCATAGTGGCAGCAGGCAACCTGCTTAAACTACAATGTATATTTCTCGCGCTTGTTTTCTGAGTCTGAATCTGAATCTGAATCTGAGTGCACTCTGGCCGTACCCTAAGAGGGTTGTATTAAGTAATTTGAAAATACCTAGTCCGATACTTTATTATCGCGTAACGTCACTATCACAGCTGATTTGACAGGAACTGTCAGTTGTTTGTTTCGTTTCGCGACTTCGCGTCTTTTGTGTGCGCAACGCAGGTGGTCGCGTGTTGATTTTTCAGTATAACTTTGGTGGTTTTTATTTTCCTTTGTAATTCTCGCGACTTTGTAGCAAACATGAAAAATTTTCCTGTATTTGTTTTCCCAGTTTCACTTGAATTCTATTTAAACGCTCGACATACTCACAAACAACTACTGACTGTTTATAATCCGTACGACTTTTCGGTAAATTTTAAAGGTATTTATTATAATTTAGCATCGATTTTTATTTGTTTATTTAACGATGTTTGTGTTTCATGTTTCTAGTTTTGTTGCAGTTTTATGTACGTCCCCTAACAAATTCACTGTAATAGACCCCGAGGGTGTAGTAGCTCCACAAAGCTGTATTGACATTGTAGTGCGTTACACTCAACCATCTGTTACACACTGCGATACAATAGAAAAGTTTAGGATCACAATGTATGATAGGAACACTCAACAGGTAAATATCTCACTTTCTACATGTAATGTATCTGAACATTTTTTACCAAGTGTGGTTCGCGTTTTTAATAAGTTGTTAGTGTGACCTTTGGACAGTTTTGAATAGACATCATTCTGAGTTGGTCTAGGAAAAAATTAACAATAATGTATTTTATATTTTTAAAGGCACTGGGTAAAAGAGACATACCTACAAAGTTAATCGAGGGCGAGCCGTCTAACTTAAATCTAGAAAGTATGGGAGACAGCTTCCATCCTCTAACTACAAGGGCCGCACCAATTCGTCCAGCTGAAGAAGCACCAAGATTAACCTGTCACCATCCTTCACATATAAGGTACCTATACAATTATTACTAATTACAACTTATGCTTTAGATTTCCTGCAGAGAGAAGGATATCAACAATTTATTTATTAAGCATTATCATACAGAAGTACAATTTATGTGAAGAAAAAGTGCCAACCTAAGGGAGCTAGAAGACTCGTCGTACTCTTGCACTTCTTATTATATTGTTAAATACATCCAGACATATCTATCACCCCACCTAGCATTGTAAGTTTTGACCTATTAGGTTTTTAGTTATGTTTTTATTTTTTAAGCATTTTATGTGTAAATCTAAAGAAAATATAACTAGAAAAAATTCCATGCGGACCAGCAGCAGATGGGACTCAAACCCGCACCCTTCGCAATTCGGGTGAATGCACTGACCAATTGCAATCTTAAATGACTGAAGTAGTGAGCAACCAACTGTAGTAAGCAAACAAAAAATAGATAAATTATAACTTTAATTATTGCAGAGAACAACAGCCTGTAAATGTGGTAGCTGTCGCTGTCAGTATATGCTGTATTGCAGCACTACTTCTTCCCACACAACCGGAACAGGTGACACAGAGCCAGTGGCCCGAATGGCTGCATATAGGTTCAAATCTCAAGTTAGTCTTCTCATTTGTACTTGGTTTGGTTAGTATGTTAGTGTTACGACCTTAAAATCTACATAAATAAGATTGTAATAATACCTAGTCCATATCATCAAACAGTGCTATGAATTAACTACTTATCTTTTGATAACATGTTGATTAGACAGCTTGATAAGGTTGTGGGTGTGTCAGTACTTGGAGTTATTAACCTCTCTGTATTAGAGTACCTACTAACTCCTTGAGACAGGAACTGGGTGCACAATGCAGAGGGCAATCTGAAAAAGATTTTTTCTTTGGTATGATGAATCTGGGAAATTCGTCGTATTGTATTTTATAGTTATGATTTTCATTTAAACAAGGGAACACACCTTTTAGTCATATGGTCTCCTGGTACTTTTTCATAATAATGATTTTAAAAATGGAAAACTACAATGAGAACATTAAAGTTAAAGCAAACCCTAAGTGCATATTCATCGAATTTTGTTTTTTTTCTAAATGTATGTTACAAATTAATATTCTTGAGAATGACCCAAAGGATTATTTTTGGAAAAAGGAGTTCCTTTTTCTTAAGAAAAGAAACAGCCTATTATAATTTATTCTGACAGAAAAGGAATCTGAAGAATGTGTCAAATCAAATTTATAAATAATAACACATGTGTTACAGCTAGTTTTTAAAGTACTATGTAGTTACAATGTAAATATTTCCTCAGTGATATAATTAATGTAGGTCTGTAGGTTTATATGCCATTTAAAACAAAAATTATAATAGTTACTCCTATTTATTTTGTTAATACAAATTGGGAATGACTAATGTTTGTTTAACAGTGTTTTGGTGACGGTCCAGTTAAATTTGAGTCTCTTTTGTATTTATTATTGGGTGGGTCCTGTCAATGTTTGTGCTGTTTTTAAAAGAAGTTATTGACCTTGAAATCCATGACTTATTGACATACATACCTAGAAATTATTGTCTGTCCTTATGTTTTCAATATGTTTATTGTTAATGTAAGTAATAGCTGTATTAAGTAATGATAATAATTAATGGATATTTCAACTGAAATTATTCACCCTTAGTAAATGGAGAGCTTTTATGGAAAGGTTTAAATTAATTGTATCAATATGAAGCCACATAATGAGAAACATTTTCATTAATCACGTGAATTTTTTAAGCAACTTTAGCCCTCTGGTGATGCGTTGTGAGGATTTAGAGATTATTTAAATATGTGACTTATTTAAATAGTTTTTGATTTCTTTTTGCCATAATAATTTTATAGATCTCAATTAAAATTAAATAACACTCTTAAAGTCAGGGTCAGGGTCCCTTAAAATTTGATACTTGTCTTTATGTCCTTGTGATATTTCGTGATTCTTTTCCGAAAGCTCCTTCCCCCCCCTTTCGTACTTCACATGATTAATAAACGCTCCCATATTACTTGACGGAACACGTACTGCATGATGCACGTATCAATTCTGGCATGATTGTCTAGTCTATACTTAAAAATAAATTTAACATCAGCGTCTCCTTTTCGTTCTGCATGAACAATGACAAGGATATACTATTGTCAAGTTTGAATTTAGGTTTAGAGAATGTCAAAATCAACACCACAACCAATATATAAAATAATATAAATTAGCATTTGGAAGGTATGTAGGTATTTATTAACAGTCAGAAACTTTGACCTTAGGCTATAATTGCTTGCATTTGATCTCCATGATGGGAAGAATTCTTATAGGCAATTGAGATAAGTATATCGTAAACGATACACGCCAGAAATTGGTAGACAGAGACATAAGGCCACGCCCTAAATTATTTGTTAAATAAATAGTTTATACCTATTACTTTCCGTATTTCAGTTTCTGTTGTGTTTATTTACATTGATATACTTAACTGAATGCATTTGTTTTGATGATAGCTTTGTTTAAAATTTTAAGTGTATCTGAATTTATTACCTATTAATTTATTCTGATACATCACATTTTATTCTAAGAGGTGCTATAAATTGTGATTTTATTTAGGAATGGTGTGATATTTTTTTTTCACTTAGTCGTATTCTTATATTTTATAAAATAATTGGAATTTCAAATCGTCGCCATTTGAAATAGTCTCGAGTTGGGACCAAGTCAACAGTACATAAAATTTAAGCATTGCACTATCATATTTTATTAAAATGAGCTTTAATTAATCTTACAAGACAGCTATGGTTACTCAAGTTATTATGATAAAAATGTAACTGATCTAATAAAGTAGGGCCAACGAGAAGCTATACAAAAGTTCATTCATGCATGCTGCATCTACAGTCGTCAGCACCCACCAGTCCGCACTGGGCCTGCGTGGTCCAAAATCCCTATTCCATCCATAAAACGCTCTAGACTGTCATATCCCAATTCCATGGATTTATTAGGCTTCCTTTCATTAATTATATGAAAACAAACTGATAAATTGTATCAAAGTAACAATAACATGAATGAGATATCAGTGAAATGTATAAAAACGGCAACACACAAGTAATGTTTTGCACGTGGTGACGTCAGTCTTTCTGATTGGTGTTTGCCGTCACGTGATCTAATGCCTATTTTATTCGAATTTATTTTCAAAAAATAATGATAATCTATAATTATTATGATAAATAGCTTTATTTTTTGTTATTTGTATATCATAATTCATATTTAGAAACTAACCCATTCGATTTATTGTTAGTTGAGACAAGCCTATTCTATAAGTTTTAGTATGTCGCTAACGTCGGCGCTGCGCGCGACATCGTTATGCCTTTTATAACTTCAATTGTACAGTAGCATTCTTTAATAATAATTGGTCCTTCGAACCTTCGGAAAGGTGGGTGCGCGAGGACTGTGAACAGTGTTCGTGTAAGTGATTCCAACATTGCCTTATGCATTGAGTTTTCATCGATTTTGTTTACATTTTGTATCGCTTTTCGTTGGCCGTACTTATATGTAGTTATATCCGAAACGGCTAATACGAGTAATATTTTCTCCAACCCTTCTATTATCAGAACTTTCCTAATAGATCAGCAACGCAATTCAAGAATTTAACATACACTAACAATTCAAAGTTTAGATGATGCGCGCGAAAATTTCCAATAGTTTATTAATATTGCCTGATATCATCATCTACTTTTAGAAGATGATTAAAGACGATAATATGACTGAGTGACGATTTGAGACTCTGACGTAATTACTAAAAATAATTGGGTGTATCCTGCCCTTAGATGACAGCCCGGCCAGTGGTTACTGGGATTTTTCAGACAAATTATTGCCAGTTGCCAAATCCAATGGAGAGTGCCGTGCCGTACCTAACGGGAACGTTATGGCTATCGCTATCGCTTGCGATTTCGTTTTGTTATTTCTGACCACCGAAGGTGTTCAAATACCTTACGCTCATTAGGTCGTTAGGCGATTGGAGCCCTGTTATAGGTCGCGGCAAACCACAGACAAATAAACTTGCGCACTAGACCATATTATATGTATAATTGCTACTGCGCAGGCTTCCTTGTCTATGGCCGTTGCTCAAGAAGTTTCGCGGGCAGCGTCCAGCATTTGAAAGCACTTGTAACGGAAATCTAGGTAGTCGTAGTATCAAAAGTAATCTGAGAAACTGTACATTAATTGTTTTAGATTCATTTGATAAAATTAAGCTTAAGTGTGCCCGTAACGAAGTATTACACCTGATGACAACTATTTTAATAATATAAAGACAAAGGGTGTATTCCGAATCAAACACCAGTACGCTGGCCAGTGGTAATGACGTCATGATTTCGACGCCATATTGACAACACTAACTACTACACCAGTGCAATATGACGTCGAAATCATGACGTCATTACCGCTGACCAGCGTACTGGTTTATGTTTCGGAATACACCCAAAATGAGCAGCTGGCGAACAAAACGGTTTAATTGCATAGAATTAATTTTTACAGAAGCTGTATAAAACTGAATGACATGCATCCAGTGAGCTTTTGTCGTGGATTTTAATTTATACATTTAGTAATTTTAACACTGTTTTAGGCGGTTTTGATTGAAAATTATTTGTAACTCAAATTCAACGGGCCCGAAACCTCCGGACTGTAAAAGAAAAGTGGTTGGACCAGATGCGTAATAGGCTAGTGGACCCTTTTTGGAAAAAGGGTTTAAATGGTTAATAAATGTTCTATTGGGCCGAAAAAAATGTATTGTATTTTTTTGAGACCTAAAATAGACTTTTCTAGGACATACATAAACGCTGTCGGCCATTTTAGTCTATAGATTATTTATGCTATGACGTCAACCGGTAGTAAACAAAAACTCGTAAGTACGTAGAAAATGACCTGTCTGAGTTTATAATAAAAAAAACATGATTTCTAATAAATACCACGAAAAATATAGAAACTCCAGGAAAGTTGTAGATTAAAGTGCCGAAAGAAATTAACCTACGCAATACCTGGTTAGAACTTACTAAAAGGGACCTGCAACTTTATCGACTCATAGTAAAATTTATTTTTGCGAAGATCATTTTGATGTAAGTACTCATTGAATAATATTTTAAGTCCCTTCATTTATTATCAATTTTAATTATACAAGTTTTAAGGTTATGTATGAATGACATTTAGTTGTTTACTACCAAAGAGACGTCACAATCATGGCGGATGTGGCGAACAGCGTTTTTAGTGTTTAAAAAGTATAGACTAAAAAATCTTTTTTAAAATTCAATTTCTACAGCAATCTTCTGCTTTTATGAAGTGAAATCGATATATTTAGGTTACTTAGACGAAATACTTTAAGAAATAAAAAACACCGTTTTGTTCGGCAGCTCCTCAAGTATCATTTTATGTAAGTTATTTGTTTATCAATTTAATATTTACTTCCGACACAGTGTCGTAGTTTAGTTTTTTTTTATAGGGTCGCCGTTTAATTTCTTTTTCTTCGATATTTAAGCTATTGCTATATTGGCTGCTACTCTCTACGTTGCAAGGAATATTCCTTGCTCTTGTGTGGCTGGTTCCACACAATAATGTATATTTCAATGTTCATTATATCTAAACCCCCGGTTTAGTACGATACAGTACCATAACATAATC